CTAGGTAACTGTTTTACTTTAAAAAAAACCCAGCAACTTAATAGGAAGGCTCTCAAAGTTGAAGGAAGTTTCATCAGTGTGAACTTTTGACAGTTCTGTTTTTCAGTGGAGCATAAAACCACATTGGAGCAAAATACCAGGGCATTTATTTATTTATTTTTAGTAAGAGGCACAAGCACAACCATGGTGTTTTAACTCACTGAAATTAATTCAGCTGTAGATTACCATCCTCAGAATCTGCTCCATGTGCAGAAATAAGCTTGTGTATAGAACAGGTTTCCCATAATCTCTCCTTATATATAATTGAATAGTGGGTGCCAAAGTTCTAATTCTAAAATGCACTCCCTTAGTGTATGGCTGATGGCACTGCTCCTCAGCATATATCACCACCAATCAGAAGGCAAAGCCCGGGTCCCACCCACACCACAACTGCTGCGACAACCTGGTCTTTTGCATATGGAAGCTGACTGGACTTCACTCCATTCCACACCTCAAAACTCCCCCCCCCGCAAGGCAGTTGGAATGTCAGTTGCATATGGAACCTGCTGTATTCTGGTGGTGTGCAGGTCCCAGGTTCATGTTTTAAAAGCAGACTGACACTGTTTGCCCAAAGCCAGAGCACTCTCCCAGAGCCTCTTTCTAGATCTTGTTGTATTTATTTCCACAACGGGCCTTATTTCTAGTCTAGAGATAAACTGGGAATGCTGTGCAAAACCCAGGCAATTCTGTAACATATGCTGCGTCTGACATCTTGCCTATTGCGATTACAACTAGATCCAAGTTCCAGTTTAAATATTTAGATATAGTCTGTGCTGTATAAAAGAATGTTTTCTTTACCTGAAAAATAAAACTTCTGAGAACTTGGCAAAGAAAGACTTTCTAGCCGGTACTGATAAAAATAAGCTGAAAAGTACACAGCTTCTTTTCTTCTATTTTTAAAAATGATCTTGATATTTTGGAAAGCACTGGACCTGTTACATTGAAGAATACTTTGAGGACATACATTTTACAGCAAGCATATACTTTTGAGGTTCTATTAAAATATATCTTTTTACAAGTGTGGTTTTTTTTTAAGAATTTAGTTTGAATGTGAATATTTCAGTCCAGCTTCTAGCCTGGTTTTGGGATCAAAAGTGCCTTGGTTGTACCTTTACTGTGGGGGAGAGAAGTTAGGGCAGCATGATTCTGATGATTCTCCTGGACCTCTTTTGTGGCTTTTCATGCCATTGACCATAGTATCATTCTGGATTGTTGGCTAGAATGGGTATTGGGGGCATCATACTTGAGTGGTTCTATTCCAGTCTGACACATGGGTTCCGGAAGATATTGCTAGGGAACTGCTGCTGTATCATGGAGGTCCCACAAGGCACCATCCTGTCCTCCATATTGTTTAAGGATGCTATGAAACTGCCAGATGAGGTTCAAGTGATTTGGGATGAGCTTTGTTGGTACCAACTCTGTTTTCCCATAAATTGGGTGAGATAATTGATGTCTTGAGGTAGTAATGGGCTGGATAAAAGCCAGTTAGTTGAAGTTCAGAGCAGATGGATGGAGGCTGAAGTGTCATCTGTGGCCCATTGTTTATTTGCCAACTATGGTCACAGTTACCCATGTTCTGATTATACCTAGGTTAGGGTACTGTAAGGTACTCTAAATGTGGTTGCCTTTGAAGCTTCAGTTGGTACAGTTGATTTGCACCAGCCAATGTGGTTGGTTGGCATAAGTCATAAGGAATAAAATTTTCAAGTCTTAGAAGAACTATTCTGATAGCTGATTCATTTTGAGGTACAAATCGTAGTGCTGGTAATTACTTTTAAAATCCGACCACGATACCTAAAGGACTATCTGCTCCCATATGTGTCTGCTCATTAATTATGGAGGCTATGCTCTATTTGTCTCATCTGTGCCAGGCAAAGTGGTCATCAGAGATGGGTCTTTTCATTTTAAGACTGAATTTGGAACAGAATTATGTACAAATGATGAACATGTTATTGCCAAAATGTATAAACTTTTGTTGATAATTTGAGACAGAGGAAGTTAAAGAATCTGTGGTAACATGGGCCAAACATTTTGGAAATGATATACGAATGGAACAGTGGGAAAATATGTGGTCAATAGTGTTGAAATTATATTAATTTCTAGTCTTAAAGAGAACTTTTATAAGATGATGTACCGTTGGTATATATCTCCAAAGAAATTGGCCAAAATGTATAAAGGTACTTTGAGTTCATGTTGGAAAAGTGAACAACAAGAAGGATCATTTTACCAATATGTGGTGGACATGTAAGAAAGCAAAATAAAAATAAAAATGGATACAAATAGAATTATTAATCCAGAAGATTTTAAAGTCTAATATACAATTGAAACCAGAGTATTTCCTTTCGGGATTAATGGACATTCAGTCAGAAAGAATTTGTTTTTATATATGACAACGGCAGCGAGATTAATTATATGCACAAAAGTGGAAGAGTCCAATATAACCTACAACAAAGGACTTGGTTGGGGAAAGTGCTGGAACTTGTGATGGCTAAACTTACTTCACTGATTAGAGAAAAGTCAATACATTCATTTATTGCTGATTGGAAACCCCATATAGACTTTTTGCGTGAAACAAATAATAATGATTTGACAATTTGTGGGTCTGATGTATAAGGAATTTAGACAGTAGAAAGGAGTTTTTCATGTAAATATAGAGTAAGAGAATATTTTGTAATTATATTTGTTGCAGAAAAAATCGGAAGCCACCTTTTATTTTATATAGTTCTTTTCTTATATAGTTCTTCTTTTGTTATTTCCCTGTTATTCGTTATCTTTCTGTTATTTGTTATTCACTGCTTTTTCTTCCTGTTCTCTCTCTGCCAAGCCTCTTTCTACACCACCTAGCTCATGGGGTGTTGGATCTGAGGTTCTTTTCTCCTCCAGCCCTTAGGTCAGTTACAAGTTCTTTCAGAGCTGTTCTCTTAAGGGCAGTTCTCAAGAGAGCTCTCTCAGCCTCACCTACCTCACGGGGCGTCTGTTGTGGGGAGGGAAAGGAGATTGTAAACTGCTCTGAGACTCCTTCGAGTAGTGAAGGGCAGGGTATAAATCCAATCTCTTCTTCTAGTTTGCTCTGGAGCCATCCTTCCTGAGCTAAGACAAAAATGTGTGAGCTGAAGGTTGAAAAACTGTGAGCTAGCTCACACTAAGTCAGCTTAGAGGGAACACTGGTGTCCACCGGTGGCTGCTGTTGGGGGTGGGGCTTAGAAGCAGGGCTTCCCCACCAGCCAGCTGGCTGCTGGCAGGCAGGAGCCCACCAAATCAAGGGATCCCCTGCCCCCACCTGGGGACTGGCATCCCTAAGTACAGGGCGCACATTTTCGATTAGATGTCCTGAACTTTCTCTCCTGATCCTATGGCCACTGAGAAAACACCAACCACGGGGTGGGTGGGAGAACAATGAGACGGTGGGGGTAGAACAAGGTAGGAAGAAGCAAAGGCGGGGGAGGGGTAATAGGATATCTCCTCCCTTGCACATTCTCATGCGTCTCCATCTTGTTTTATATTATTGTGAACTTTTGGGCATTGTCTGGGTTTTTTAATGCAGTGTCTTTTCATATGTTAAATATTGTTGTTGATAGTAAATTCAAGTGTAGAATTTGGGACATGTCATACTGTTGGATGGCCATTTAATAGGTGAAGTGATCTTTCAATATAATGTTCATCTGCATCTCAGTAATCTTAAATCTTAATGCACTTTCAGAGTTCTGCTCAGTTTCTTGACCGGAATCTACTTTCTTTAGAAGTCATTTATGTAGTTAAAGAAGCTGCACAAATAAAGAAAGAAAAAGTATCTTTTTAGACTTTTGGTTTAAGGCCTTTAGCTTAAATAGGCCGTTAGATCTGTTTTTCAAGTTATGGCCCCAGGTTCTCCAGAGGAAGTGATATATTTCTGCTCTTCTTAAAGTGAGGCTCATTGAAGCAAATAGTCTTGTGGGTTTTTTTTTAAACCACCTAGTTAATTTTGGATTTTGTTGCTTATTGCTGCTATTGTAAGTACTTTCATAATTCATACACAGTCTTAGACTCTTCTATATGGGGAATGATATGATTATGGAATCTGAATAGAATGTAGGTAAATATTTGGGCTGGATCCAGCCAGCTTTTCTGCTGGTGAAAAAAGAAGACTCTCTGACCATCTAAAATTGCTATGCTAAGAATCATGGGATCTGAATGTACAAAAACCATTTGAAATAGAGGATGTAGTATGGAGGAGAATTGGGACAGAGTGATTGCAAAAGCTGTCTGGGTCCATCCCACTGTATTCTTAGGTTCCAGAACCTGTACTGATAGTACAGTGTTGATGTACAGGAAGCCTGATGTCACATGATACGTTATATCAAATATGCTATGTTTTAGAAACTTATCAGCTAATAATAATTGCTCTTCCTTTTGCAGCTTCTCTGCAAAAATGCCTAACGGGAGGATCCTCCATTTTCACCCTTCAATTCTCCATTTTGGAATGCAGTGAGTATCTCTTATACTTTCATAATACAGGAAAGATTATCACCATGTCTTGGCAGATTTTTCCCCTCAAAGCAGTCTTTTATCCCCTGCTTTCATCTTGTAGTGATCATTGTAAACATTGTCTCTCCTTTGTTGCTTGGCAACTCAAGAATTAACACTTGTTATCCATATTATCAAACTGATTTTTCTATCTGCATAGATGTATTCGTAGTATGAGCAAGCCAATTTACTGTAACATGCTATGTGCTTGTCCTACAAGTCCCAGTTATTAGAGCAAGTGCTGGCCATAGTTTACTGGCTCAGATCTAGTGGCAAACTGTGGTTTTCTGAAAACCAGGAAGTAATGACCTGGCTTGCGATATGCATCATGAAACTGGGGGCAGAGGAGCACATGAGCCCAAGATTCTCTCACGCTCATTTACATAGCATTAAATCATTGCTTAGCATTATGTCTGAATGAGGCCTTCAGTTTACCTGCCTTAGTCATTAAGTTGGTTCCTGTCATTCATAATTCTGATTTCAGTCAGTAGACTGTTTTGGGGGGTAATACAGGGCTGTCAGACAAGACCAATAATGTGCCAATAATGTGTAGCCCAGTAGCTGGTCTTGTATAGTGGTTAAAGTGTTGGACGAGGATCTGGGAGACCCATGTTCAAATCTGCTTTCTGCCATGGAAGCTTGCTGGATGGACTTGGGCCAGTCACACTTTCTCAGTGTAACCTACCTCACAGGATTATTCCAAGGATAAAATGTAGGGTTGCCAGGTCCCTCCGGGCAGCCGGCAGGGGATGGGGAGTGGACTTACCGGGAGCAGGGAGTCTCACCTGATGTTTCAGTGACATCCCCAATGTGACTTCCAACTGGCCCAGAGATAACGTAGGCATGTCGGGTATGACGGGCGATGCTCTAGTTTTTGGGCAAAACTCTGTGCTAGTTTCTACCATAGAGATTTTGCCCAAGAAAACAGAGCATCGCCCCGATGGCCCCAATGTGCCTACATCATGTTGAAGTAACGTTGGGGATGTTGCTAAATTGTTGGGTGAGACTCCCTTTTTTGCAGTAAGGCCCCCCTGCCAGCCAGCTATCAGTGGTGGAGAGTTGGGGCCTGGGAGTGGGGACCCCTGGCATCCCTGATAAAATGGAAGACAGGAGAACAATGTAAGCTACTTTAAGTCCCCATTGAGGAGGAAGGCAGGGTATAAATGAAGTAAATAAGTAAAGTAAGTTTGTAAGTAAGAATTTTCCTGATTTCTGAATCAAATTATCATCATTATCATCCCTATGCCGGCTTACACCGAGCTCTGGGAAATGTACAGGACATAATGTCATAGAACACAAAACATTAAAATTCATATATAACTTAATAAAAATTTCAGTGTAGATAAAAATCCCACGATGGTGATTTTGTTATTTATCCCAATTCTGAACTACCAGCCCCTTTATCGGGGTGGGGGTGGGGGACTCAGAATGGTCTTTGAAGTCTAGATTGCTTTCCTACTTCAAATGTAAATGGAACTAAATATGTGATGGATAATTGAATTTTGTCCTGAATATTTCCAGGTTGTGTATGGAGTGAAAAGTACCAATCAGATTTTTTTTAAATTGTCAGTAATACTTTTCCAACTTTCTTGTTTTTCCCTAGGTTACTGGGACTACCTAAAGCTAAAATTCTATATGCTTACAACCCCAGTAAGGATAGCGAAGTTATAGTGAATTCAGTGTTTACAACTTCTAGGCATTTTCATGTGTCTCCTGTTTATGGCAGGGTAAGTGCTACTAAACTTTTGGAAAATGTGCTGCATCAGAGTGCCCAAATTTCATGCTTTCTTTGGCCTAAGGCATTCAATCTGTGGTTCCTCTTCCCTAATTTCCCAACCATTAGCTTGTTCTCTATCAACAAGTGTCTTTCTACTAGGGCTGAGCCCAGTTTTCTCACATGAACACTTCTGGTACGAACAAAGGAGCTTTGAGGATCAGGCCTGCAAAGAGGCTCTTTGGGAAGTTTTGCCCTCACCTAAATGTATTATATTGGGATGGGGGTGCATTGGCAGGACATCTTTCTGCAGGGGGCCACCATAAAACAAATTGCCCAAAATATGTATGTAGTGTAGTGTGATAAAATACATGTGACACAAACCTCCCATTTTGGCTCAGCCCTGATATCTACCAAACTGAAATTAAAGCAAATGGATAAATATGAACTGAAATGAAGAATCCTTAGTTGCCTGTAGCTCTGAAAGGAAGACTGTATTTTTATATCAACTTTCCTTTTGTTTTACTGCACATTGTAAAACCATAGTACATTTTGTATATATTGTAGCAGTTAAAAATCAAGTGTATTTGTCTTGAATTACTGTTCTGTGGGCACAGGTTCAGATGTTTCTTATTGCTGACCTCTTGTTACAAGGACATTTTGGGACCATAGTCAAGTTTAAAACTTTTTTGTACAATATGGCTTTGATACATACCATATTTCTCTCTCTCTCTCTCTCTCTCTTTTTGCTAATATTAGCCTATTTTTTCTAGAAGCATGCAGTGTGAATGAAAGGACTACCCGTTCAAAGGTTTTGGGCAAAGATTTATTAGAACGTCAACACCAAGGGAAATTTGCTTCAAAACCAATAATGTGGAAAGGGTGTTCTTTTAAAAATCACACTAGTAATTATATATGGCATAGCTTAAAATCTTTTTTAATAAAACGAAAGTTAAACAATGTTTTCCATGTAACTTTGTTAGAAATGTTATTATAACTGGTTGCAAGCACCAAATTGCCTCACTTGGGACATAATTAGTAAAAATTGGGATTGTGCACAGAACTGTCCATTAAAGTCACCTTGCTTAGGATGGCATTCTAAGAAGCTCATCCAAAACCCCATGTGTTAAACAATTTTCCCATAGTTCTTGGCACACTAGCCCTAGTACTCATTTTCAGCAAAGAAAGGAATCTGGATTGTCACTGATTGTAAGAACTGCTTCCAGGTGCTCTCCCTTTCTCTTGTTTTTCTTTTTCTGCCAGAGAGGGAGGGAGGGGGGGAGAGAGCTAGAGAATTCAGTAACCTCTAGATTTACTGGCTTGCATTGCCGTTGTCTCTGCTTCTGCTCTGTGAAGGAGAAAAAGCAGCCCCAGTCAACGGACTGCCATATAAATTTAGCCCAGTGCTGATGATAGCTGCCCAGTCTAGCTCTGTCCCTGCCTTCCATCTCATTTGGGGTGAGACACAGGGGAGTTTATAAAGGGGTAGGCACAGTCTAGTGGGAAAGAGATTGGGTGGTGACATCTTACTTTTTTTGTTTACAAAGCTGTCATAAAAGCAATGCAACTACGTATATTGAACATCAGACACCTTTATTTTATCTGTAGGTGATTCCAGCAATGGGGAAAATTTATTTCAGAGTACTGTTTCTTCCAATTGAAGAAGGCAGTTTTGAAAGTTCATTATTTATAAATACCTCATCTCATGGAGTGTTTTCATATCAGGTAATTTTTTTATTCACTGGCTTCAGACCTAGAAGATACTTGTTCTCAAACGATGTCACAGTGGGCAAAACAGGAAACTGCCAGTAGTTCATGGTTACAAATATATAAGACTTGCAATGCGCCTCACAATCCCGATGGGGCCGAAGCCCCCTGAAGCACAATGGTTTTCGTCATTCTGGACTCTACTGCCATTAGGGTTGTGAGATTAATCTTCATCACATAGCAGCTGACACAGTGAAGCCTCTGATGTTGCCGTTTTCTGGAGACAGGACATAGTTTTACAGAAATCCTTTCTGTGTCTTTCAACCCTGAAGCATAAAGTGGTGATTCCAAGACTGAAAGATAGTTTATAGGATAACTTATCTGTCTTTGGGCTATAGAGATGTGGTGACTAAGGCATAGCTGCAGTTCTGGCACCTCACTAAAGGCCTGGATTGTATCTGTTGGTTTCATAGTGGTATGAGACGGCCTGTAAACTTTGTGTTGCTATATATTGAAGTAGCACTTTGAAGAGCAGTCATTTAAATGGAAATTGTACAAAGGGGAAGTTTGCAGAGGAGTGGATTATGTCTCTGACACTATCTCTTGGCCCATTTATGTAGCTGTTTCTCACAGTCAGTAAGTGTACTTTAAGCGCTTCAAGTAGTCGAGTGTTATAAAATTATAGCTGATGCTCAGTTGCTCCAGTGATGTCAAGTACAATTTAATGGAAGTTCCACTGAGATCCATGTACAGAGATACCAGAGAGACTAAGATGTAATTAGGGTTTATCCCACAGTCTTCTGATTTAGGACCATTAGTAGCTCATTGGAGACATTGCTGCACGTACTTATTTCTCCACCATCTCACCAGAACTCTTTGCTTATGTATTTTTTTATTCTTACTGAAATGATTTTTTGTCCAAGATGCAGCTATAACTCAATCATAGAAATAATATTTGAGGGTGCTACTTGTTCTAGTGCTACTTGTATAGGCTTCCATCCCCCATTTTCTCCTTCACCTCACTAAAGGATATCCAGTGTCTTTCCCCTGTATCTGCTGCCCCCTCACCCCTTTCTCTCACTTTTAATGAATATTACTATTTATAAAGATCTTGCCACATTAGGGATCCATGAGTTTTTTCTTCTTTCCATGTATTTTTCTTGATTGAATTCCAGCTGGCATGGCGATGCCAACTGATAGTGACTGGCTGAGCTGGTATGATAGTATGAAATAGATGGTCTAGGAAGTAAACGAGTTGAGAAAATTGCCTGTTTGTTTCTGATTACAATCTCACAACAGGAAAGACAGGCAGGATAGTTTGTTTTTGGGTTACCTTCTCTGCACATATGCTATAGAGTACTATCCGTGGAAGGACTCTTTGTGATGGTCACCTGAGGCAGCGGCAGAGGTACTTGCCATATGGAGAATGGTATTCAACACTGTTGAACAAGAAAAGCGAGTATATGGAACCCTGATAATCGTATTTAACGATGGACTATTTTGACTTCACTCATGCTCAGCACAAACTGGTTTTTAAAGTCTTGAGTTGGGAAAGGGAGAAGGCTCTTCAGAAGGAACCCCTGGGACTTAGATAGAGAACAGTTCTCTCAGGTCAAGTTGGTTTTTAAGTAGCCCTTATAGATGTCTAAATCCAGAGACCTGTATATGCTACATACCACTGAAATACACATTTTTATAAGAAAGCATTAAGTGTGAATACACTTGATCTTCAACCCCCCCTTTTCCCAGCAGCCTAAAATCATATTACTCATTTGTGAAATCCTCTGCATGTTTTAATAAATTTTGTGTTTGTTGTTCAATGCGTAGAATGTACATTTCTTTTTACAGATCAGTTTTTCAGGCCTGATCTAAGTAAATGTGGGTGCAACATGGTGATTAATTTTTTTCAAAAGCCATATGTACAAAACTTCTGTAAGACTAAGATAGCAACCCACCCCCTTTTTTTGTTTGTTTGAGACCTTGGCAGGGAGCTTGGAGCTTGGGAAATACTTTGAATGTCCTTCTACCCTGAAACGTTCAAATGATAGCAGCTATAATTATGAATACTTTATTATAGTCTCTTTACTAGTTATTTTAGAGCATACTTGCTGAGTGCTAAAACATAGTGTTAACTTTTCATTAGAATTATTTGTAACTAGTTAATGCCCTATTTTTCTCTAGGTCTTTGGAATGGGAACTTCAAGGACTGTTTCAGAAGAATCTAGAAAGCAGCTAGCAAATACTTACTTACTACTTCCGCATATCAACAGTATCCAGATCTCACAAACACTGGTACAGTATTTTAAAGTAAATATTCGGTTTAAGAACTGCGTGTGGTTTTGGTTCTTCAAAAATAACTGCTTCAGCTTCCTGTACTATATTAAGCAAAGTGATGGCAACAGTTTTTCATTGAAATTGTTGTGGTTTCTGAAAATTCTTTTGGGTGAAAGTAGGAGTAACAGCAGCATTATTTACATGTTAACAAAGAATTTGTATTTGAAGTAGTGCAGCTGAAGAAGTGATCTGATCTTTGCACGTGACTTGTCAGTTCTGTGTGAGTATATTGCTTAGTTGATCAACCATTAAAACTTCAAGGCTGTGCATGCATGTTTCTGTTGCATTTTCCCTAGGGTAGTTGCCCTTTGTCACCATGTTGCTTCACAAAGTAAGTTGCAGTTGCTGTCTCGTACAGTTATTTCTTCTAGCTGCTGCTGTAGATGTAGGCTTGTAGCAGCTAAGAGGTAAATAATGTCACTGGTGAACTGTGACTTCTCTGTGCCCTTGGTATTTATTTTGCATAGATAAGTTTTATCCTTGAGGCAAACAATTTAGTTGTACCTAATGAGTGATGTGTAATGGAATTTGAATTGATCTAGAATCCCTTGGTCACAAGACCTTGTGTGTAGCTTTAGATTTGGAATATCTGTAGTCAGAGAACTAATTCAGTGTAGCCTCTTCTGATTTGCTGTTCTGCACCCCTTGGTCTCTGTGGGCTGCATAATTTTCTTGTGCTGAGTTTTTGTGAAAATGAAACTTATTTTTGTAAGCTGTTTCGTAGGTTGAAAAACTTTAAAACGTTAAGATAAATGTCCACATTTAAAAGGAATGAATACAACTTGTTTATTCGTTTATAGTCCACCTAATATGTTACATGCTGCTAGCAGATTCCAAAATTAGTTCATGATGTAATGGGATCAATGTGTTTAAACCAATTCTGCCCTAGTCAAGTAGAAAGCTGTGCTCTGGTTTGAACAGAAATCAGAGCTGGGGGTGTGCTAAAAACCTCCTCCATTTCGTGAAGGGTCCAGCTATCTTTACTTTCTCATCACTTCTGTTGCTAAATTCATCTTTTCCACCCCCATTGCTTTCGACATGACTGTGCCTGCTGTCGTGGCTAGCATGGTCATATAATGTTAGGTCATCTTTTATGAATACTGAGTCAAGATACAGAGTGTATTCTGAAAATAAGGCTAGATGGGTCGTTCTCCAGAAACACTTGTTCAGTGTTTTTTCTAATTGACTTTGTACAGAATGTTGATATGTTTATTTGCAAGCACTTTTATGAAATATAAAGAGAAAACATACCGGAAAAATGCTAGCACTCTCATCTTTAAAGCACTGTTACTTGCAGACTTCGTCATCAGTTCTGCATAACATGGTAGAAGGAAGGGGAAGAGGGTCCATTAAAGTAAATGTGGTCAACGGGCCCACGCTCAGCTTAGACATAATGATACTAAGTGTTCATTCAGGGCCCAGTTCTCTACAGTTTGCACTGAATTTTTTTTTCTCCCGTTACCTCTGTTCTTAAGAAGCTGATTCATTAATGTAGCTTTCATTGTGAGTGATAAAGTTTGCTGGTGCTCATGCATCAGTAATTGTTGTTAAAGCTATATTTTGACCTGAGGTATTTCTTTACCTGCAAAATATGATGGTGATAGGGAAAAAGACTCAGACCTACTGTTGAAGGGTTTAATTATGTTTTATATGCTACAGCTCCCCCTTGTGGGATCGTGCAGGGATTCTTGAACAAGAGAATGGAATGTGATAATGAACTATTCTGTTTTAGTCAGGAATTTGTGGTGCTTCACTAAGTGTTGGCAGTGCTGCTACTAAGAACTAGTTTTAACTCTTTTCTGTATGTAATTTATAAACATCTCTAAGTTCCTTTTCCTTGGATCACATTCCTTTAAAAATAATTTTAATAACAGTCTGTGCTATATGGTTGCTTTTGGTAAAACATTTGGACAGCACAGAAACACAGCGGTTATTTATATACAACTCTGCCTCAGTGGTCATCATGTTCTACTTGCTCAGCACTTTTACCTCACAGCAGCGAACTCAAAGCCTTTACACTTGTTACCTGATGGGAAGGTTTACAGTTTAAAACAAACCCGGTTCCCCAAAATCATAAGAGGCTGTGTGGGTCCCCTTAGTAGCCAGCAAAGACGTGTCACAACAACTGACAACTTGCAACATGGCAAACAGGTTTTATGGAGTCAAAACACTTTGCAAATTCTAGGATTTCTGTTAAGTTTTTTTTTAAATTGCAGTAAGTTGGTAAATTTCAGTGTAGGTGAGAAATGTGCAATATTTTCCAACACGAGAGTATATGCTGGGAGGCAGTTTTACATTAAGATGCTTCCACGAGGACCTCAAGGTAGTACCCGAGCCTACCTGTGCCCTGTGTGCTTAAGGGAAGCCTAGGGTTTAGTCAGGAAAAGAAGTGTCTTCATTGGCCTGGTGCTCCTTGGAAGTATGCCGTCCTTGTACTGGATGTGATATTATCTATTTCCCCCAATTGCAGGTTACTGAACCAGTTTCTGGCTGTGTCTTTAATTTTTTCCAGGCAGAAGCTAAGAATATCAGTCATGTAAAAGTTCGTCTTGAATGCAGTTTGCATAATAAATTGCACCAGCATTTTAAGGTATGATATATGCTTTTTGTCTTCCAATCTGCTATTAGAGAGAGTCCTCCAGTGTCTTAACTTCCATTTGCATGCACACTCTTCTGAGGGCCCATCTAGACATGCTGGGTGTCCCGAGGTTTGACCCAAGAACACATTTTAAACTTAGCCATGGTTAGGTTCATTGTGGCATGGGGGGGGGGTTTCCTCTCTCCCCCATAATGTTTTTCCACCCTGAAATGGCATGGGGGAGGGGGCATGTGGGCCAATAATGCCCCTCACTGCCATTTCAGGGAGCAAAACAGTGTGGGGGTGGGGAAGAGAATCCACTCATTCTCCTGAGCTGTCATGGTCCTGACTAGAATCAGACCCCCTGGCAAAGTTTAAAGACGTTCCTGGCCGGGAACTCACTTTTAAAAATGGCAATACATACCCAGGGCAAACCAGTGGATGTGCGTCTCATCTAGATGGGCCCTCGGTTGTTCTCTAATTTGGTTGAGGTAGCTCTGACTGTTCTGGAGGGCCCAAGGCTGATTCTTTAGAACTAGCTTGAGATCTCATGGCTTCTATGAATCTGCCCCAAATACCAGTTTACCCGCCATATGTTGTAAAAAGCACTTTAAGCTGGATATTTACCACTAGGTGATAGTTGCTGCAGTTACAGGGGTTGTTAAAATGAGTCCTTTGTAGCTGTTGTCATTGTTGCATTGTTACTAGTTCTGTTGGGGTGATGTGTAATTAAGGTTTTATGCCATTCACTTTGAACTGAACTTCCATGTGTCAATGGGTTTGATTCATATTGGACTGTGGCATCCACAGAGAAGAAGCTTAAGCTTTCCCCTACATGCCATTTCCCCAACCTGAAGTAGCCTCAGTGAGCTACTATTTGTCTTATTGTGGAAATTTACAGTGCCATTGGGACATGTAAGGTTCTCCCATGGGGCAAATAACCTCCTGGGGTTAGTCAGATTAGGGAAATGGCATGGTAGGGAGGTCTAAGCGCATTCTCCCTGAGCACTGTGGTCCTGAACAGATTTGTGCCGTGGGTACCTGCGAATTAAGTTCCCAACAGGGAACTCAAAACACATAAGTCAGAAGCCCCTGTAGAATTTGTAATGTGTAAATTATCCCTTAATATATCTATAATAAATGGAGGCTCCTTTCAAAACCTTGAGTTCAAATATGCTTTTGATCTACTGCAGTAGCCTAAGTCCTTTGCTCATCCTGCTACATTTTTTATTTAATTAAAGCAGAATAACAAGAAACAGTTCTTATCTATGAATGATCAAGTTCTACTCCCTCTTGATCCTTGAGTGCCTACTTCAGGAATGGTTATCACTTTCCCAGGTCTTGGTTTCTCATAATTTCTTATTTGCATCTGGGTGGAAATCTATATTTTGGTAGTCCCTGTCATCTCATTTGATAAATCACACTGATGTAGAGAGTGGCCAAAAGTCTCTTGTCAGCCATTCTCACATCTGCCTGTTCCAAATCAAGAAATGAGAGATTCCTTTTACTGGATTGTCTTTTGTGTGGGATAAGAACTAGGTTTTCTGTTTGGTCCATTGTTGGTTCAGTTTAAGCAAAGTGATGGATTTTAATTCTTTCGTAGTACCAATCATACCAATTTGTCTAGGGCCCTTTTTAGCTCATTATTAGCATTGGCACGGTTTTAGATGGAAGTATTCTGAATATTATACTGTGGTTAATTGTTTGAATGTTTGAAACATTTGAAAGTTTGCTGCCTTGTAAACCCTGAGTAGGGTGGAAAGGCAGCACAGAAATTATTCAAATTAGATAAATAATTGGTGGAATTTTATTGCAGAATTGCTGCTTTGTACCTGATGGTCTGATGCTGCTAGAAATAAGCTTAATGGTCCGAGTGGAAAGCATGCAGCATGAATTTGTGGACCTTAGACAATACATACTGGAAAGCCTTTTTGTTGTTTATGTAGCAGTGAACAAAACACAAACCTCAGGTAGGTCTCAAGATCTGGATGTGACCTTTGCAGTTTGTCTGGGTAACTTTCTATGGTAGTGGAGCTTTGACATTGGGTTTGTGTGTGCTCTTTTTGGACAGATAATCATCCAGTAATCCTGTATGTGTTGCATTCAGGCACCAACCTTTTGTATGTGCAGGTAATTATATTTTTCATATTTACATGTTTAAAATATATTCTATTTGATAAGTCATCTTTAACTGTATGCAACCTGACAGTAATTGAGACAATAATTTTGATTCAGTGGGGTGAAAGTATCTGATTCAAGGCCTTCCTTGGAAGATTTAGGTTCTGAGGTTTGCTTTTAAAAATTGAGAGAGAAACTGTCCAGTTAGAGAAAAATCCAAAAAAACATCCTGACTTGCTATACTGTGATGCTAATACTTGGCTTTAGATGTATATGAACATGGGAAATGGCTTCAGAAATCATGGGAATCAAAGAATTCTGTGGTGAATTGTTGACTCTGCACTGCCAGAGATCTAGCCTTCTGAGTTGTCAGGACGCAACAAAGGGCATAACCAGAAAACAGATAATGTGGTAACTGGAAAATGACATCTGTGGGATAGCTCCATCTGATTTGATTTGGGGGACAGTTTGTGCTTAAAGAGGGGGCATGAGTCAGTGATGGAGCAAATACTTTTCATGGTGGAGGTCCCACATTCACTCCTTGACATTTCCAGTTAAAAGATCTTAAGTTGCAGGTGACGGAGAGATCTAGCCTTCTGAGTTGTCAGGACATAACAAAGGGCATAACTAGAAAACAGATAACGTGGTAACTGGAAAATGACACCTGTGGGATAGCTCCATCTGATTTGATTTAGGGGACAGTTTGTGCTTAAAGAGGGGGCATGAGTCAGTGATGGAGCAAATACTTTTCATGGTGGAGGTCCCACATTCACTCCTTGACATTTCCAGTTAAAAGATCTTAAGTTGCAGGTGACGGTAAAAGAAATCTTTCTGTCTGTGACTTAGGAGAGCCACAACCTGTCAGAGTAGGTAACACTTAGCTAGAAAAAGCAGGCCTTGACTCAGTTTATGTACATTTGTAGACAACAGCAGCGTTGAAGTGTTCAAAAGCTGTGAATTGACCAGCACCAATGTGAAAGTTTTCATCAGTGTAAGGAGACTACCAGGGCTTGATTGGAATAATGAAGGGAAATTGCCATAGCGAGTGGGATGCATATATAAGGGGGTAGAAAGTGAATGAAGAAAAAGGAAGATTGTGGTTCTGCATCTTAAAAAAAAAATCCTCTGGTACTCTTTCATGCCCTTTATGCACCAGTACTTTGAAGAAATAATAACATTTTTGTCCATCTGTTCTTCTTTCTAAACTCCCTTCATCCCACTTACTTACCGGGAAGGGAAGTGTTTTTGTTAAGAAAGAGAGAGAGGAGATTCTAGAAAGTTGAGAGCAGAGGGAATGAGCAAAGAGGTTTTATTTCCCCTCTGTCTTTGTACTGAAGATTCCAGTGCTCTGAAGATAAGGTGGAAATATATTCCTGATAGACGTTCCAACAATCTGTCTCTAGCTCTTAAAAGTGAGATAACACACCTGGTCTTTCCCCCCCCAAGAGCACTGGGGAGTGGAACAGAACATTTTCTGCTTGCTCTGTGATGATGACTATCTTTTCAGCTACATTTTTGTGGGGTCCTGCTTGTTCTGCTTAGTTTTACAACTATGTGGAGTACCATCTCAGGCAGATTCTGGAAATAACACTTTTCAAATAAATGTGATTAGAATGAAAGGTCAGTGTTTCTTTTCAACAGCATACATCCTTTGAAAGGGAACTTTGACAACATGAATATTCCAAACTTATTATTTCTCAGAACAATTGTGATTATTTAGGGTCCTTTTCTAGATGGCCTTTCAATTTTTAAAAAAATGGTCAAGGAAGCATATGATAATATCCATAATGACTACATGAAAGTCTTATAACCATCAACAGGGGTAAGGTAAAATAACATAACAATCTCTGTTCCAATAATCTGAGATTTCTCAGTCAATCCATCTTTAGTATGGTGGTTCCTGCAGGAGAGCACCATTTATAGACGTGAATATCTTGACTGATGGGGGGGGGAGCAGTCTTTCAGATATTCTGGACCCAAGTGGTTTAGGACTCTAAAAGATTAATTGTAGCATCTTAGATTAGTTCTACACCCTAACTGATAGTTGCTGTAACTGGAATGGCTTTATGTAGTCACAGTGGTATGTCCCTATAAGGAACTTTACTTCTGCATTTTGAACTAAGTAAAGTTTCCTGAAGTAAAATAGATAGCATCTGCAATAGATAGAATAAGTGTCCTTTTTATGGTCACTTTTGTGGCATTCTGCATAAGCTGACCTCCAGGAGCAGCTGTCCCACATGCTGAGGTTGCTCTGTGAAGCCCTTAGCAGAACATTGTGCAGAACTGATGTACAAGAAACCATGTTGGTTATTCAAATAAAGGTGGCTTCATAGAATGAGCTGCAGTGAATTACAGGTTTAATTGTCATGAAGATGAACATTGTGTTTTTTATTTGTTTGGTAGGATGTGAAGCATTTGTCACAGAAAGGAATGTTTTCTGTGTTGTTTGAGCCAATAATGCTGCCATCATCAGCCACAAATTTCACAAAAGTTGCTTCCATTGTTTGTAAAGGTATGGTATTTACGTCCCAATTCTCTGCTATATACACACAACAGAGGGGCTAAGATCTATAGCAATTTACGAATATACCAGGATAGTTAAAAAACAATCACCTAAAAACAAAAACCAATGGCATCAGAAGATAATAGATGGAGATATATGATACAGGGTACGTCTCACAATTTGACAAGCTGCAAGAGAGTGGCTGTGGTCCAGAGTGGATAAGGGTCCTTTCTCATGACCACTTTTGCATAAATTGACTTCCAGGTTCAGATGTGCCGCACACTGAAGTTGTATAAAGTCTGAGCAGACCTTTGTGTAGAAGCACGTGTGAGAAATCAATAATTGCAGATGATAAAGTATTCAATATATATTACAGTTATTTCCACTGAGTAGAAAAGAGTGAACGGAGTCAGGTAAACAGAATAGTGAACTATTGATCAGGAAAACCTACCTGCCCTTTTTTTCTCAGCATGGACAGTCCAAGCAGAGAAAATAGCCAGATACTTGCATGTTGCAGGGAAGTATGCTTTGCAAATTCTTGAACTGTATTTCTGAACCAAATTCTTGAAAATACTCTGTGTTCCATATTACTTTTCGAGCATCAAGTCCTGAGTGTGTTGATGGTTTCAAATCCAGTCAAATGCAATAACAATGTTGTAATCACCAACATTATTCCATTTGAATCTTAGATCTGTTTGACTGATAAGAGTATCAATCAGCTATAACTTTTATTTTTATAACAATGCTTTAGAAAGCCATTCACTAGTCTGAAATAATGTTTTTCATTAATTTCCCCCCATTTTTCTTTTGGAGGGGGGGGAGTGTATATTTGTCTTTTCCAGTTTTCTGTGTTTTTTCTAAACTTTAACAGGCATTTCATTAGAAACTCTGAAATGAGATGCCCCCCTTTTTTATTACAGGTACACTGTGTGGACATGAAAACAATCATGTTCCTAATGACAGGATGAATCTGCTAGGCTGTGATACCTCACAAAAAGCATGCTTTCCCTATGCTGCAGTGGAAAGGTAAGGTTTTCATGAAATGTGCAGCAGAATACTCAAAACTATACAGTAGTATAGTGAAAATAGGTGGCTGTTCTAATTTTGAGACTAGGTCATGTTAGAAGAGATCAGAACAGAAGTAACTTTCAAGTTTACCTTTAATGTGGAAGAGGGGTATATGCTATCTTCAAAACAATATTTTTAGTGGAGGTAGTTTGTACATTTATATGAAAGTCATCGAAAGAAGAAGAGTTGGATTTATACCCTGCCCTTTTCTCGGAGTCTCAGAGTGGCTTACAATTTGCTTCCCTTCCTCTCCCCACAACAGACACCCTGTGAGGTAGGTGGTCCTGAGAATGCTCTGAGAGAACTGCTCTTGAGAAAACAGCTTTGAAAGAACTGTGGCTGACCCAAGGTTACCCAGATGGCTGCATGTGGTGGAATGGGGAATCAAACCTGGTTCTCCAGATTAGAGTTCACCATTCATAACCACTACACCAAACTAGCTCCTCTGGTGTGCATGTTTGGCATGGCCTTATGTATGTGTGTCATATCTCTTAGAGTGCTATGTTTCCAGTATATAAATTACTGTATATATTTATACTCCCCCTCAGAAATCCATACCTTGTGTCTGTAATTCATAACAGAATACACTGAAAATGCAGTTAATGGAAAAGAAAACTCAAGGAGGGCAATCCTTCTTTTAGGAAGGTTGCATAACAAAATAAGCCACACACTTCAGCAGGCATTACACATTTAGTGTTATCATAGTCACTGTGTGGATATTTTTATAATCATAATTTATGTCTTGCATAATGTTAACTTGTTAGCTAAAGCCGCAATTTATTCAAATGTGCTATGAAGAGTGGACTGTTCTCATAGGTGATGCTCACCCTGTGGAACTCTCCCATCTCAAGAGTCCGCCAGAGTCACTTTCTTATGGTTCCTCGGGCAGTGAATAAGGCTTTATATTATTATAGCATTTTACATTTTTGTTCTTAACCTTGTGTCTACCCATTTATGTACTTTAATGTAAACCACCACAAAAGTCAAGGCTAAGCTATAAGAGTGGGTATAATTTTGAAATAAATAAATAAAGTGGATTTAAGCACTTGATAACACCATTTCCTATATTTTAAACCTTTATCTTAGGTACTATGGCACTGATCCATTTATAACAGCATTTCACGTAGAACCACATCACAGTATTTCAGCATCTTGGTCTATATGGTTTACAAACAATTTTGATTCGAATATAGTGCTAAATGATGTCTATGTTGCAAGAGAAACAAAGGATATTTTAAAGGTAAGTTGTTATTTTAGGATCTTCTGTGCAGTTTTCTTTCAATGAGGGGGAAGAGATGGTATCACAGCCTTCCTCTCTTATAATCTGGGCCATGCACTCAAAAATCGGCTCTTCACTAAGAAAAATTAAATTATTTGTGTGATATAAATTGTGAACATTTTAATAGATCTGCTTATTTGCATGTATTGTTTTGGTCTTTTATGGGTTATGGGAGACAAAGGAAACTGCTCAGGGTACTGAAACCCTACACCCTGATCAGAGACAGCTGCTTTGCTCTGTATTCCCATTGAGATTTTCCCAAGAATTGCCTATATATCTCCTGTTCTTTGTTGACAAGCAGCTGAGATTACCAGAGTAATGGATTTTGCAATCATTACCTAATTCCACACATGAAAATAATCACAGAGTTAAATAATGCATGCAGCCTTCTGATACTTGAATAATGAGATGTAAAACTTAGGATCTGTTCCAGCCCGTTCTTTGTGTGCAGCCCTTTGGTGAGGAGGACAGTTGTCTTCACCCTTGGGAAGGCTGCTGATAGCGAAGGGGGAATTGCAGTAGTGCAGACCCATGTACCGGGACACAAGAAGGGAATGGGAGAAGGTGGTGGTGATTTTGGTTGTCATTATTTTTCTTTTTAACTATCTGTATTTTCTTCTGACAGTATCTTTTCTACATTAACATAACATTTTAGTATTAGAAGCAAAAGATGTAAAACAAAGTAAAATATGTGTTATCTATAGTCACCTTGATCTGATGTTTTCACTTTCAGGTTCTGAACTTCACTGATCCTTTGACTCTACCTCCTGGCTGTTGGAATGTATTTTCTCTAAAACTCCATATCAAAGAACCTGTCATAAGTCTATTTTCCAGTGTTTTTGTGGCTACAAATATTGGAACAGTATTCGAGATACCACTGCAGATTTATTCTGCTTTATCCCAGGTACAGCATTGAACTGTTATGGTTTTGTTGAGTGCTGTTGTTTCTATATTGTCATGACTATTTTTAGTCATAGTAGATTTTTCTAAAAATTATCAGTAGAATTTAAGGGTAGGGAAATTTTCAGATTTTATGAAATATTACCTTATACAAGCTCACTGAAACAAGGTATATTTCATGTAAAATTCATTTTATAATGTTCTTCAATCTGAGTGGTTCCATCTGTCGAGGATGGGCGAGTGGGTGTCAACGTGGCAAATGGGGTTCAATGTGGCCAAGTGCAAAGTGATGCACATTGGAGCAAAAAATCCTAAATATAAATACACATTGATGGGGTCCGAACTGGCAGAGACTGACCGAGACATCTTGGAGTTGTAGTAGATAACTCAATGAAAATGTCGAAACAGTGTGCGACTACAATAAAAAAGGCCAATGCTATGCTGGGGATTATTAGGAAGGGAATTGAAAACAATCAGCCAGTATGAGAATGCCCCTGTATAAATCAATGGTGTGACCTCATTTGGAGTACTGTGTACAGTTCTGGTCACCACACCTCAAAAAAGATATTACAGCATTGGGAAAAGTGCAGAAAAGGGCAACTAGAATGATAAAAGGGTTGAAACAGTTTCCCTATGAAGACAGGTTAGAACGCTTGGGGCTCTTTAGGTTGGAGAAACGATGGCTGAGGGGTGACATGATCGAGGTTTATAAGATTATGCATGGGATAGAGCTGGTTGAGAAAGACGTACTTTTCTCCCTTTCTCACAATACAAGAACTCGTGGGCACTCAATGAAATTGCTGAGCAGTCGGGTTAGAACAGATAAAAGGAAGTACTTTTTCACCCAAAGAGTGATTAACACATGGAATTCACTGCCACAGGAGGTGGCGGCAGTTACAAGCATGGACAGCTTCAAGAGGGAATTAGATAAGCGTATGGAGCAGAAGTCCAACAGTGGCTATTAGCCACAAGGTATAGATAGGGACTCTCAGGCTGAGGCAAGTGATGTTCTGTATTCTTGGTGCGGGGGGGGGGGCAACAGTGGGAGGGCTTCTAGTGTCCTGGCCCCTTTGCTGGACCTCCTGATGGCACCTGGTATTTTTGGCCACTGTATGACAGAATGTTGGACTAGATGGGCCATTGGCCTGATCCAACATTGGCTTATCTTATGTTCTTAGGGAGTGGGGGAAGAGAAGCAAAAGTAGCCATGCTGTGCTCTGGACCATTTTACATATTGCTGCAAGTGGTAGAAAGTGAACACTTGGATGTATATCGATACATACTCCAACTGCCTTTTCCTGCAGAAGAAATGGTGCAAGTTCCCTTTTTGCATGTTAAAAGAACCTGTCAAAGCAAAACCACATCTTTCAACATGCAAAATGGCTTTAAATTGTGGGTTTTTTCTCTCTTTATGTAAAATTGGGGGGATAATCTGTTTGATACAACTTGTTTATGCTTCAGTTCCTTTTTCTTTGTTAACACGTATAATGCTGATTTATGAAATTTTCAATTCATGTTTTTCAGCTGGGAGTTTTTCATTTTGAAGCCATAATACATTATGATACATACTGTTCCTTGAGAATGTCTGAAACAGGTAAATGTGGTGTAGAAAAACCTGACATATTTCTGGTCCTAATGTCTACAATACAAGGACTGATAACAATATGAAGGTGTTTAATAAACATTCCTTCCCCCCCCCAAACACAGGGGGTCCCTTATCCTTGAGCCAATGGGCACATCTGGAAATTTGAGGGGGGGGATCAGTGCTACCACACAATGGCTGCTGTAGGCCAATTGCAAAATGCTGGGAGTTCACACAAAATCGTGCCAAGCATGGTCCTACCAAGCCAGTTCTATGGTGGAAGCTGCTTCGAGTACACACTCCCTGCAGATGCAAAGGCTGTTTCTCAGAACCTCTTCTGAAGTAGTTTCTGCTCTGAGCAGGTGGAGGAAAGCCAGGAATTGTCTTTTTCCTTGAGAAAAAAGATGCTACTCAATTTTGTTCCTTGTGTGGCCACGTAAAGAGGTAGCCAAACCCAGAGACATGAGAAATGATGCACCCATCTGGGATGATCTCATTGCTTTGTTAATCAGTAAAAGAGTAGAGAATGTCTCCTAGCTCTTTGTTTTATCTGTTTTAGTTCAAGATCCTTAACATTTCATCCTTAAGACTAGCAAGTGGGCACCAAGGATCCTGTCAGGAGGAGCTGTAGTGTGGATTGCCTACCTACATTATTCATGTCAGTTTGGTGTAGTGGTTAGGACCGCGGACTCTAATCTGGTAGAACCAGGTTTGATTCCCCACTTCTCCACATACAGCTGCTGATGTGACCTTGGGTCAGTCACACGTTCTCTTGGAGCTGTTCTTGAAAGAGCTTTCTCAGCCCCACCTACCAAACAGGGTGTCTGTTGTGGGGAGGGGAAGGAAAAGTAGATATAAGCCTCTCTGGGACTCCTTCAAGTAGTGAAGGGCAGAGTATAAATCCAATCCCCTCCACCTCCTCCTCCTCCTTACATTTTAGCAGCCTTCTTTTCTGGACATTTTATTTCTGATTATTTGTTATAGATCAGTTGCTTCTTTGAAAGGGACCAGGGAACTGTGGGTTGTTACATATTTCACTTCTGCCCCACCCTTCCACAAGAACTGAGAGTGCTGCAGATGGTCCCACTCCTTCAGTTTATCTTCACAACCACTGTTAGATTAGGCTGTAGGATTGCCAATCTCCAGGTGGTGGTTAGAGATCTCCTGGGATTAAGACTGATCTCCAGATAACAGAGATCAATTCACCTGGAGAAAATTATCACTTTGGAAGGTGGACTCTATGGCATTATACCCCATTGAAGTCCTTCCCCTCCCCAAACCTTGCCCTCCTCTCTCTCTCTCTCTCTCTCACACACACACACACACACACACACACACCCCATCTCCAGGTGTTTCCCAACTCGGAGCTGGCAGCCCTATTAAGCTAGTCAAGAGTGGTTGGTCTGAGGTCACACAGCAGACTTCATGGCAGAATGGTGATTGAAACTCAGGACTCCACAGTTCAGTATTCTAACCACTGGATACTTCTGGGAAGAGGATATGACAGGGCGCTATGTTCACAAGTGGTGAGCCAGAAAATGGTGTAGCTGTTAGGAGAAAAGGAGGCATGATTTATTTATTAAAAGTTTCATATCCCACCTTTATATCTGTAAAATGGAACATTATGTATTTTAGCCAATCTTCTTTGGGAAAAGAGCCTTTCTCTGGACAGTTCAACAGGCAGTGTGGATTCTGATCTTGCCTATGAACTTCATGAAAAATGGCAAAAAATTAAGCATAGTGAAATGTGCAGGTCTGTATAAAGAATGCTTATATTCTTAATTTCAGCAACGTTGAGATTTTTTATCTGTATTTTGATGGAAAATATCTAGATTTAATATTAATAATCATTTTTGAGGTCTAAAATTGATTAGTCTTATGCATAGGCCAATAAAGACGCAATGTTCCTGATTCCTTAACCATGGTGAAGAGGATCAGCTGTAAACTGTGGTATCTTATACTCTTCTTCATCCCAGCCTGATTTCTCTTTGAATTCCCCCCACCTTTCCACTTCTGGTGCTAATCAAGTTAATGATTATATTGCCAGTGCTCTTAAACCTTAGTTACAATGAACCATAGAACCATGAAACTTCCAAACATGGTTTGCATTAGCTGTAGTTATCATTGATGCTGATGTATCTCAGAAGCATGGTGCCAATAAGGAAATCTATGTTGGAGAGTAAAGAGCTGGGTGGCAGGGATGGGTACGAACCGGCTGACAGTCTAAAGTTTGTCATTAATTTTGGCCTGTTTGTAGTTTGTGAACTGAAGAACTGGGACAAACTACCATGAATTTTGGTGCAGTTCGGGGTGGCTCATGATGGTTTGTTAAGAGCAAAAAGCAGGGGTTTACCTATGCTTTCTGCTTCTCACAAAAAACACCTGAGTGGCTGGGAGCTTTTCATGGGAGCAGAAGGCAGGGTTTAAATGGCTCAGAGTCATATAAACCGCTGCTGCTTTCTACTCCCTGTGGCTTTCTGCCAGGAGCAGAAAATGGTTTAAATGGCCCTGCTTTCTGCTCCCCATGAAGAGCTGCAGGAAGCAGAAACCAGGGTTTAAATGGCTCCTTTTGGAACCAGCCACAAGGTGGAAGGGAAGTCCTTCCCGGGAGATTCCCCCCCCCCTTCTGGTGGCCGCTGTTTTTCAGGCTGTCTTCTGCAGTCCTTTTAAAGCGGTTTTCCATGCTGGTTTGTAGTTAAAGGGATTGCACAAGACAGCCCAAAACAGCTGAGGGGTGGGGAGCAAACTGCTCCCCACTGCTCAGCTGTTTTTTGGGCTTTCTGCAACCCCCATTAAAAGGGACAGTGGTCCCGTTCAACAGGGTTTGAAGGGCCACAAACCACAAGAGCCAGTTGGTTTGTAAACGAGCCTCCCAGTTCGGTTTGGGGTTTAGTTTGTGGTTCACCCATGAATCACAAACTGAACCAAATTTTCCAGGTTCATGTCCATCCCTACTGAGAGGGATCCTCCATCAGTCTCCAGTGGTCACTGACAGTAAAATATTACATACTTCACACCTACCCTTTTTAGAAAAGTGTTCAACACTTAGTATGAAGATGTCCAATTCTGTAATGCTAGGTGAGATTTAAATTTAAAAAAAAAATCCCTGAAATCATATGTTGAGGCAGTAAGAGTGACAGACTTTATTTTTAAAAGATGTTCGTTGTCAATTCAACAGGAGAAATTTTGGGGAAGTTATTCATGTCGTTCATCCAGAGAGTCCTGAAGAGGAATCATTTGCATTCTCTCTGCCCCACTTGGTTACAGAGCTTGACCATACATTGAATTTCAGTGCAGCTGCACCGATGAATAGCATGGTGAGACTGTTTTTAGATTTTAAAAAATTAATAAAGTTCTTGTCAAAACCGCTGGTGATGTTTTCTGTTTTCATACTGGTTTTGAAAGGGAAAATTATTAATCTTTATGAAGTGATCTTTCGCAAAGATTAGAAATGCTAGACTGAATTTACAGGGTCTCAAGGTATGGTTAGAAGTCATACGATAGAGCAGTCTTGTGTATGCTAAGGAGGTCTGAGTGCTCAGTGCCTGGGAACCTCATATGCGCCATTTTGAAGGAAGTGGAATATAAATGCGATACTTGGTGAAACTTTTTTTTAAACTTTTTTTTTAAAAATAGTAGTTTTGGCTTGTTAATCTAATTGATGTTGGAGAGAAATGCATGGAAAATTGTTCTTCCTATTTTTGTCATAATTTATTCAAATGAGAATTAATTTTAGAGATGTTAGATGACATTTACCTATTGATAAAATCATTGGTCTTTTCTAACCTTTTAATGTCAGTTCTTTTATATGTGAATGGGAAAAACTTCATTTGCAGTTGCTGGATGTTATTTATTTGCATCATATACAACACTAGTACATATACAAGTACTAGTACTTAGAAGAAGAATATTTATCTTATTCTGTTATGAGATGCTTTTCTTTTGAATTGATAATATATTTAATTTTGCAATTGCAAATGTGCTATCTCTAGAATTAAATGAAAATTCTGTATGCTTGTTAACATTTCAGAAACGAAATATCAAACTGTTTCAAAATATATTTTTGAAATATCTTGGACTTCAAAATGTACTATTTCCTCTTAACTTGAAGTTTAACACCAAGATATGAAGTATTAACCTTAATGTTTTTAAAAATCATTTAGGTAAAATATTTCACGCTAAGAAATCCTTCATCTTTCCCAGTTGTGTTACAACTTCTGCCTTTGTCATATTATCCTGATCCTGAAGCTTCACTGAGTCTTCTCAGCAAATGGTAATGAATATAACTATTTAAGAATACAAGTTGCAATTTCCTTTTAAAATCTCCTTTTCATTATTGCTCTCAAAAATGTCTTTATTTTTAAAGAAATACCCAAGCTGCTTGTATGTTTGACTGCTCCTCAGCATTAATATCTCCATTTTTAATTGAGAGCATATGACTACTTTGGGCATGTGTAGGGTATTGGTTGAAATTGTATTGCACTCGTATTAAAAAAATTTCACACTGAAACAGTAGAACTAGAAATAGCTGCAAACTAGAATTGTTTCTGAAACATAGACTTTTCCTCTAATGCGTATAGCCTATTTTTTTTTTTTTAAAGTTTCATTCACATCTTCTTTATCTTGGTTTGTAGGTTTGGCACAAATGTACAGTCTCTTAATTTCACAACCAATGAATTCAGATTGACAGAAGAGTCTGCTCACAGGGTAACTAATTCTGTTTTTTCTATGTCAGAATGGAATCTCTCTGTCTGCTTGCAATAAACAATGAAAAAAATCTCTGGCAACTTCTACTTTGACCAGATTTCTTCTATTGGTGCATAAAAAATGGCAATTATTGTGGAACTTGTAATTTGCATTTACATAGTGGAAGGCAGTTTTGAACTGCTTGGATTTATAAACTGCCATGAAGTTTTCCTGAAAATATTTTTTTCTCAAAAAAACGTTTTCAAAGTAATACTCTATAGCCCACTCCCATCCTTACTGGATACATGAAGAGGCAAAATGTTGGAATTTCCAGAAAGTGTTCAGGAACAAAGTTGAATGGGGCCTTATTCCACCTCTGACCACTGGAAACCTCAGCTCACAAGATGCCTCACCATGATATAAATGCCATGGATCCTCTTGTCTTTGGCTTTACTACTATGGCTGCAGTGTCCTCACAAACATGCCCTTTCCCCCATGGTGGGTATGGTGAGAAGTGAGGCTGGGTGCAGAGGAGTGATGATGCCCAAAATGTATTCTTCAGCAGCCCCTGGTTTTCATACTAATTTCTGAATTAAGCCCAGAGTAGTTCATCTGACTACTGCCTTTGAAAAGAGATAATCCATTTCCTGATATAAATTTTTGATTTGGTTTGATTCCCCACTCCTCCACTTGCAGCTGCTAGTGTGATCTTGGGTCAGTCATAAGTTTTCTCAGAGCTGGAGGGGCGGGGCTACGGGCACAGCAACTCGGTCAGCTCCCAGAACTTCTCCTGGGTGCCACTGGCTCTTTGGTCTATTTAGAGGAGTCTTTGGGGGAACCCAAGCTCCACAAGACCTCCTGGAGGAAGGTCAGGAGGAAGGTCCCCCGTTTGCTGCAAAATGGGTGGAAGCTTTGGATCATCCTGAGGCAAAGAACGAAGATGCGCAGTTATGGAGCCATAAACTGCACCAGCTGTGTACGCCCTGGAAGCAAGAGAGTTAATCTTAGCCTCGTCAGTCCCTACCTACGAAGATTTACAACCTAGAAGCAGAAGACTTTCTCTTTACTTTCTCTTTATGTCCCTATAATAAATCTTAAAAAGGACACAGAAAGGAGGGTGAGACACCCCCCCAGCCAAGCGGTAGAGACAATTCACTTAAAGAAAGTTGAGTGAAATACTGCTTGGGGCAAAGAGAGATTTTTGTTTGTGCTTTGATACTGCTCTTGGGGGGGGGAAGATAGAAAGAGAGTTATTTAGAGTTGATTTTGCTTCTTGGTGGCAATTTTTTATGACGTCATGCTTCATGACTGGGAACGGAGGAGCTTATTATGACTACTGTTCTTAGTGGAGATGTAAATATTTGACTTATACAAACGAATTCTCAACTGTCAACAACTTTAAGCACGATCAGCTTTGAAAAGAATCACTGACAATAAACTTTGAAAAGATCATTGCTGGGTCTGCATGATTGTTTTAAAATAGGGGGGCAAGATCCAAAAAGAAAAATGCAAGACGATATATGCCCAGAGGACTCTATAGAAATTGATCAACTACAGGTCTCTTGGAAGGAGATTCAGGAGATGATTGTGGATTCAATTATTTCAGCATTCAAGGACGTTTTAGAACTTGTAAAGGATACATATTCTGCCCCACCAAACCAAGCTATAAGCCAGATAAAGGAAGTCCAGCATCAAACAGCGCAAGAAACAGAGCAATATTATAATTCAGTGGACCCAAGCTACAGAGGAAAGGAATCCCAGCAGCAAACCTTGCCAGCTATAAAAGAACACTACAAACAACTTGACTCAACCTATAGAGAAAAGGATCCTCAGCACTTAAAACTGCTAGACACAGAACAACCCTGCAACCAAGATGAACAAGGCTACAGTGAGAACAACAGATCTACTAAAAGACTGTCAAACTTTGCAACCGTCAAAGTTATACTCCACAGAGAAGACTGAACAGAAGCTATGAAAATACTAACCACCATAAAAATGGAATACAGCGGATGAGCCGAAATACCCTCTAGTTATAAGGAAGAGAGACAGAGAAAAATGACTTTATTGAAAAAAGGTCTTTTAAAAAGAAGAAAAAAATAAAACCTCCTAAATGCTGATCGAGAGGGCTTTGGTTTATGTGCAACTAACTAAGGCTGCGGTCACACGGAACATTAGCCACGCAAGAGAGATGGGAGACAGGCGGATTTTCCGGGCGCGATCTCACCGGCACATCTTGGAAGCGTAGCGCTTCCGTGGCACAACCGAGGCTTCCCGCCAAAAACGCGCAGCAAAAAACTAGTACCTTGGAGGTACTAGTTTCCGTAAACCGCGGGGCAAGGGGCGGGCGTCTGATTGCGTTTCCGGTGGCATCCGGCGCCCGCCCATGTCCCCTTGCGAAAAAAGTTCTCCCCCAAGTCTCCGTGGATACGCACACGCACCCAACTGAACATGCGCATTTGTCGTGTACACAAAAAAAGAAAACCAGTTTGCCGCACCGCGCGCTACAAAAACGCGCAGCAAAAAACTAGTACCTTGGAGGTACTAGTTTCCGTAAACCGCGGGGCAAGGGCGGGCGTCTGATTGCGTTTCCGGTGGCATCCGGCGCCCGCCCATGTCCCCTTGCGAAAAAAGTTCTCCCCCAAGTCTCCGTGGATACGCACACGCACCCAACTGAACATGCGCATTTGTCGTGTACACAAAAAAAGAAAACCAGTTTGCCGCACCGCGCGCTTCGTTGCGCACAGGCGTGTCCTGTGATCGGCACCTCTCCCTACCCACAGAACCTCCACGGTACCTCCACAGGACCTCCACAGAAGGTCTGATCGCTTAACCGTGCGTTAGTTTGCCCCGGGGCAAACAGCCACGCTTCCCCCCCACAGTTTCCTGCCCGTGTGACTGGAGCCTAAGATGGGCTAGAGTAAATTGTATTGGCAATGAACTAACATTGGTGACAATATCCCATAATAAAATCATCCCCTGTTTTGGTGTAACTGATTAAGATGGGCAAGGGGAAATTGTATTGACAATGAATTAACATTGGTTATAATTGAAATTATATTTCTCTTTCTTTTTATATGCATGCATAAATTATAGCCCATTAAAAAATTAGCGAAGATTTTTAGAGTTCTAGGAAGTTTTATAAACAGAAGATAATATAAAATATTAGAAAGTAAGCTGGGGGAAAAAGTGACTTAGATTATATATGTGAGAAGGATATTTAGGGAAGGATAATAGAAGATATTAGCACAAATAGAAACGTTATAAAGTTAGTTAATAGGTAAAGATAAAAGTTAATTTATAGAAGACTGTTGTAGAATGTTTAACCAGGAGAGAATCGGCTTAGATAGTAATAGAGATGTAATCATTATAGATTGTTATGATTATGTCATTTTATAGTTATATATAGAGAGAGTTAGGATTGTTAAAATTGCTAATCTAAAACACAGACTTGCAAAAATAATAATGGTCCATGTGGTGAGAAAATCAATCTATATGTAAGAGGCGATCTAAGAGATATGATGTTGTTACTACCACTCTTATCTATGTGTGTTTGTTTGTTTGTCTGTATGTTTGTTAAAAACCAATAAAATTATTCAAAAAAAAAAGTTGTCTCAGAGCTGTTCTCTCAAGGGCAGTTCTTGAGAGAGCTCTCTCAGCCCCACCTACCTCACAGGGTGTCTGTTGTGGGGAAGGGAAGGGAAGGGGAAGGAATTGTTAGCCGCTCTGGAACGCCTTCAGGTAGTGAAGGGCGGGGTATAAATCCAATCTCTTTTCTCTCTAAATTTTGAATTCTTTGGTGGAAAAAAAATTGTCTTTATGATTAGACATTTTCCACTGATACAGTGGGAAGACCAGAAATATATTATACACAGCCTATGACAAAGAGTGAAGCGTGTTCCAAGCCAGATGGTGTTTAGTTGCTGCAGCAGAAGCACATGGAAATAGAAAACTTTGTTCCTAAGAAAGCTTTGGTAGCTTGGTAGGACTCTGGAAATGAGAATCAGGTCAGGATTCAGAGTGTGAATGTGTAGGCTAAAGGTGGTCACGCGTACTGTCTGTCCTACGTTGTATTATAATCTTGGAGAGCTGAACGATGCGTACAGTTTGTACACATGCATTGGGGGGGGGGAGGCCAACAGTCCATCTTAACGAACAATAAAAAGGGCTGTATACACAATGATTTTTATTTGGCTCCACAGGCTGACATGAGTGGCAGTTACAAAGAGGGGCAATACAAGAACTACTGGTAGTTGCATATGACCATTTTTATGCTGTAAATAAAAAAGGATCCTTGTGTGCTGTGGAAACTACAAATTGTGGTGGCCTGTGAATACTGTTGCCATCCTCCAGCTGGTACCTAGAGATCTCCCACTATTACAATTGAGCTCCAGCTAACCAAGATCCATTCCTCCTGGAAAAAGTGACTGCTTTGGAGGGTGGACTTTATGGCATTATACCCTGCTGAGGTTTCTCCCCTCTCCAAACCCTGCCTTCCCCAGGCTCAACCCCCAAAATCGCCAGGTATTTCCCAAACCAGAGCTGCCAACTCTTCTTGTGAAGGCACTCTTTACCTGTAGAAGAGCTGCATGTGACTAGCAAACCATGGTGTGGCAATCCTTGAGCTAAGGGAAGGACAAAAAGCTAAACAGTAGGACTTGGGTTGCATGTCATAAGAAAAAGTGTAACCTATGTTATACTGCTGCAAAAATGTTAGATGGCTACACTGATTGCATAGGCAGCACTGGCTAGTCAGAAGCTCTGTTTCAGTTGCTCCAAACAGGAGTTACTGAAAACTGACAGAATTATCTATGCCTCATCTGTGGGATTTGTTACTGAGAGCTCATGTTTAACTAGGAGATACTGATGATTCTCCTGCTGAGCCTACTAGCATGCTAAGAAAGTAGCCTCAAAGGGTAAATGAAAATGATCTGGCTACTATAAATACGTAATAAAACAGGATTTCCTGAGTCTGCCAAAAAGATGCTCCCCCCATTATGAAAGTCATTCTGTATTGTACTTGTGGGCCCCAAAAGACTTAAATGTGTTGCTTTAATTTATGGGGGGGGGGGGGGACTGACACACACAAATAAGAGAATTTTGCCAATCAATGCATAGTAAGAGTGTTATAATATGGTAATTTTATTTCATTTTATTTTTGCAGGATGAACTGCAAAAAGAACACGATTATACCATATCTAGTTTTGAAAGGCTCCATTTAAAATTGCAACCGTCGGAAACAAGAAGAGTTGGTGTTGTCTTTACACCTACCGATTACAGAAGAGTAACATCTCTTATACTTGTCAGGTAGGACTATTCTTGAATGTCTGGCCGGAAGAATGAGAAAATATTTATTCAAAATTATGATTTAATACATATTTCAACTTTTTCATTCAAATACATAATGCTCACTTCTGAAAGCTTCAAAATGTGATCTGTGCTTTCCATTTAAAGAAATTTTGTTTTAAAATATGGTTTACTGTGTATGTTCCAGAAAAAACATGATATGCCAAATGACAAATGGTTTCTTTTTAATGAGAAATTAAACTAAAAAAGGATGAGTGTTTTGAGAATTACTGAGAATTCGCCACAAGGTAGAATGGAAAAGTCGTCATCTGTGTAAATATATTTCTAAACATATTAAGAACAAGAAGCATTGAAATATGTATGTCCCTTCAGCTCAACTTTGCTTAAAATATATGTACTCTGCAGTTAGCTGCCCTGAGCTTATTTGAGAAAGCGCATGTATTTAAAAACAATCTGAAAACATTTAGTACTTCATATGCTTCATTGGCCAGCAGGGGGTTATATAGCATTACTTAAGCAGACCTGTCTTATTTTAAAAACAGATGCATGGATGATCTTATCACTTCCATTTTTTCCCGGCATATTAAGTCCAAATTAACTGTTACTTTTCTTCTCATACTAACAATCATATCAATAATTATTTAAGGTTTCTCTGTTGCCTTTCCCTTCCTGTGAGATTTATGGAAATAGACAACATAATGTGGATCAAAATAGATTACTTTGTATGATGTTACTGTTGTCCCTAAAGTGCATAACAGACAATAAGTGTAGGTTTCAGGATATGCACTTGATATCAATGTAGAGAAGAATGAGAGAAGAAGATTTTCATTATGTGTATCAGGTGGTTATTGCTGTAGTCTGGGTTTCAAGAAATGGAGGCTGCAGGCCAAATCCGTAACCAATCCAGAGGCTTTATAGAGAAGTAGCAGCTGTGACAATGGGAATTGTTGGTATTCTCTCTGAGGAGCATAGGAGGCTTGTTTTCATTCTTGTTCTTTTTCAAAATAGCCCTCCCATAAATGTAGTTCCTAACTAGGGACCTAATCCAAAAGCTGATCTTCTGATGTTCTGTAAAGTTTGCCATGACAAAGGCTAAGAGTAATCAACATCTACATGAAATTAGCTTTGGTCACAGTGTTTTCTTTTTGTGGTGGGGCAAGGGAGGGGACATAGGCTTACACATTACACTGTTGAAGTCAGTAGCTCAAAATACCTCATGTTTTTAACTGCTTTATCTTTATGAATTTCAGGAATAATTTGACTGTTCTGGATGTGGTCTATGTAGAAGGCATTGGAGCCAGAGAACTATTGAAAGTTGGGGGAAGATTGCCAGGGGCAGGAGGCTCTCTTAGATTTAAGGTTCCAGAATCTACCCTCTTGGACTGCAGGAGACGTAAGTGGCCAACCAAGAAATAAATATCTGATGCTGAACAATGGTTTCGCATCATGTGATGAATGAGCCCTGCGTTTGTATATTCCTTCCTCCTCCTCCCTTGCTCACTGCAGTTCCTTCCCTTCTTGAGGGAGCAGAGGTTTCCCATTACATCTCAGTTTCTCTGAATCTGCTATAAAAAACTAAATGTCCGTTTTATTTTCTTCAGAACTGAAAGACAGCAAGCAAATTCTCTCTATCACAAAGAGCTTCAAAGTTGAGAACATTGGTCATCTTCCTATCACTATAACATCTATGACTATTAATGGCTACAGCTGCCAAGGATATGGGTTTGAAGTACTGGATTGCCAGGATTTTTATCTAGCACAAAACTCTTCACGAGAGATCAGCATTGTGTAAGCATTTCCCTAATTATTTAAAATTAACATGTTAGGATTAAACAATAGGAAAGCTGCAGGAATGTGCATCTGTTCACTTTTTAAAGGAGTTCTTAAAAATCTACAATATTTCACATTTTTCCGATGAAGATATTTCATGACCCTTAATAGATTACTGTCTTATGATGTTTAACAAATATCCTATTGTAGTTACCAACATCTTTGACCAGTGGTGAGAGGATTGCTTGTGTCCTCTTGGGTGGCTAGGCAAATGTTTGCTTGGCCATTATTGGAGATGGTTCTCGTAAGAAAAGGGTTTTGCATGTGAAAGTGGAGCAAAGTGGCAGCCTAGAGGCTTGTTCACTGAAGACAGTGACTCTTATGGGACTTGAATGTTGGCAAGTACCTGCTGGCCCCAACACACTGCTGAAGCCACAATGCAATAGTTGTATGAACAGGTGAACTGTATGAACTGAAGGTTATTTCAGTAGCTTCTAAATGTTTTATGACTTCATACTGGATGCTTTCCTGACACAAAGCAGGGAAGGAATCCACAAGCAGTGCACTCAGAAATAACACACCAAAAAAAAGCTTTAATGACCCTTATTGCTTGCATTGGCTGAATTTTGTGTTTTCTGGTGCAGGTTTACTCCAGATTTTACTTCTTCATGGGTTATTCGTGAGTTGACTCTTGTGACTGCTGGTGGTGTAGAATTCCACTTTACCCTCAATGTGACCCTTCCTCATCATCTCTTACCCCTGTGCGCAGATGTAGTGCCAGGACCCAGCTGGGAAGAATCCTTTTGGAGGTTCACGGTGCTCTTTGTCAGGTAAATTGTTTAATCCAGACAGATGCCAGCTGATAGCAGTAGAGAAATACATTCACTAACAATGTCAGAATAATTTTTTAGTTCTAGAATAGTTCTAGTTTTTATAACCTTTCTAACAAAAACGTTTCTGAATGCTTTCTGTGCCTGTTGACTTTAATGTATTTGATAGCGATGCTCACTGAGGTTGTTTCTATAATGGAGTAATCAGAGCATTTTAACTTTTGGAGGCAGTAGCAAAAGTCTTTACAAGTTGCTTACTTACCACACCTTTGAAACTAATGTTGAAAGAAAAAAAATCATCTGGACAACCCACTTCTAAGCACTTCTGTAGGTACCTGGAGTGTAGGAAATTACTTCATAGGCAGAGAATAGGCTGGGAAACAGATGTGGGGAGAGGTAGGAGCCAGTGCTAGTGTGGCTGGAGATAAGAATAACAACTATTTGAAGAAGGAGGACATTTTGCTAGACTCATGCATTACACACTCTAGCTGTTATCATGAAATGCCAGCTTTTAAAGAGACTCAGACTTGTGGGTTCCCATGGAGGCCCCCCCAACTCCATTGTTTGCTGTGATATCTTTAAAAGGGATTGGATTTGGAGAGAGAGCGAGACCACAAATCCTTATGTAAGGCATATGTGTGTGTGTGTATATATATATTTCCCCCCACTCTTTCTAGTATTCCAAGCACAACTGCCATTTTTTGTTGATTGCCCATTGCCACTTGTCACTTCTTGTAAACATTGCTTTCTCTTGCAGTCTATCTCTGCTGGGTGTGGTTCTGATTGCTTTCCAACAAGCACAATACATTCTAACAGAATTCATAAAGTCAAGACAGAGGCCAAACCCCAGTTCTTCTCCACTGCAAAACAGCAGTTCTGTGGACATCATCAGTTCTGAATCGTACAAGTAATAAATATTCTCTTTCTGTTCAAGAGTGGGGGTGGTCAGGACTCTTTAAAAATGTTAAATTGACTGAGCAAGTGGTAATTTAATCTATCTAGAATGGGATGGTTGGGGAGAAGAAATTCAGAAAATCCAGTGATAGATGCTGAATACTTTGGTGATGTCAGTGTCTTTATCCACATGGTTATCAACTTTGTCACTGGAAAATCTTTCTGCCTTTGAGAGCTACTGTGTTCAATGTGAGCAAAAGGATTATCATCTGAAGGCTCAATACAAGACAAACCCTTCAGACACCCATGAGATCACTAAAAAATGATCATGTGAATTCATTTTATTTAAAAGGTATCCCATCTATCTCCTCAGGTTCTCAAGCTTGCTAAAACCATTTTCAAAAATATAGCATAACAGCCAATAACATGCCCATAAAAACAAGCAAAAAAGCCAGTATAATTAGCAGCAAGAAATATAATGCTACATAGGACTGAAATAAAAAATTATATGAGTATGATAATGCATTGTATTATGTGATGGCATATAAAAGACCGCAAGTTAATAGTTGGTTATAGAAGATCAGCTTCAGGTTCAATCCAGAATAGTACCAGTGGAAGGGAACTAACCACTAGTGCTGTGCCACAAATGCTTCACAACAATTGATGCAGGAGTTCATGCGTTTTTTTAATAAGTAGATTCTGTAGCAGTTCCTACATGTTCTGCTTGTTCAAGACATGGTGCAAGTGGAAGAATATTCTCATTCAGCACTCTAGCATGAATTACAGACTTCCCAGATTGGCTTTCTGGTGTGGTGGACTAGCAAGGGGACTATAAAAATCTTTGCCATTATGAGATTGAAGAAGAAATGGGAAGTTCGGGTATCTCATGCTTCCCATTCCCTGGCTTCACTGAGTTCGTTTCATAAGCTGTAACGTGAAGGCGAACCCCTCTTATTAGCTCCTGTGCTGCCCCAAGGGAAAATTTGTGGTCCTGTCGGAAATAAAATATTTTTGTTTAAACCCAGGGGTTTCAAACATATGGCCTGCAGGTCAGAACTGGCCCATCTGGGGCTATTATCCAGCCCATGAGCAACTGGTCATTACCCTTATTGCCAGATGATAATGGCTGTACATCATGTCCCCGTATACTGTCCCATTGCTAATGAGTACTGGGAGGTGGAAGTGAGAGGGTGGGCATCAGGGAGATACTTTAAGGAAATACTGTAAGAGTGTTAATGTTTTAAGCATGTTTGTATTTTGAGTAAAAAATAATATTGTTAATTGGGTTTGCCTGTGTTCTTTATGAAGTTTATATCTCCCATACCTGGCATTAAATTTTTTGGTACACATGGCTTGGCCCGACAAAGTGACAGTTATGTCAGATCCATCCCTCATAACAAATGAGTGACACCTCTAGTTTAAACTGTCCAATGGGAACAATTTATGAAACTGCCATGAACTGCCTCATCTTCCCAGGCAGGGAGATTTAAAAGTTGTTTCTGGACAAATATCACTAGAGAGCCAGGAAGAACAAGATGCTTCTGTTTTTCATCCTCTTGGGCACCACTATGAGAACTGAGTGTATTGGCTAAAATAAGTAAAGGTTTTGTGAGATATATATATCTTTGAAAGGTCACCAATGGTATCAAGTCAAAGTCAAACTTAAAAGCCCAGGGTTTAGTATTGTATTTTCCATTGTCTCTGTTTTCATGCTTCAAAAAAATGGTGATCATAATAAATAAGTCTGTTATCTTGATTTCACATCCAGGAGTAGCTGTAAAACCTTTACAGATACTTATGGATCGTCTGATAAAGGAAAAGGAAAAGGCTCCCTTTCTGTGGGTAGCACAACCAGCCGAAGCCAGAATGCTGCCAAGAGGAGTCCAGCAACATACAGCCATTCCCAGAAGAAACACAAGTGCTCTGTGTACTATGGTAAACAAAAATCAAACACAGCCATTAGCAGCACCACTTTAACTACTGATGACAAGCAGAACCAGCCTGTTGAAAATCAGACTTCAGCACCAAAGGAGGACATTTGCACTGTTAGTGAGAGCTGGTTAAACCTGAAATATGCAAGTAGCATAAATGTAAACATGCAAAAGAATTTGATGCACCCAGGGAATTTTCTAGACAAAGAAGAAAGTGCATTGAAGAATTCAACACTTCCTAAAAACACTTCTTCAGAGTGCAGTTTGAAGGAGGGCCTTCGAACAAGTATGTTTCCTAAGGAAACGAACCTTAAGACTTCAGAAAATATAGTGGAGCTCAGAGAATCTGAGCTGTGTCCCTTGAAGTCATCAAAGAAGCTGTCTGAAAGTCGCTTCTCAAGACATTCACCTCAGCAACAATCAGAATTCCAAGAAGTTTCCAGGAAAAATAATGGTAATATTTTTAATATACAGAGGGAGTGTTTTGAATGGTCTCCACTGAGATGTGTATTAAAGTGTTTAGGACAGGTATGGACAGAAGGTAGGCGATGATCAAGTACTGACAAATTTTTGGTGAGCACCTAATGCTGGGATTCAGCAGGTTTCAGCCAAGTTCTCACAGAAGGTGGGACACATTATAGCTGCCATCAGGAGTTTTGGTCTGCCCAGCCTGCACCTCCACAGGAGCTGTCCCAAGGCACCACAGAATAATATCTTTGAACCCTGTGACTGACTAATAATTACTTTTTGGTCATGTGATCCCCCATATGTGTTCTGAAACCTAAGAAGGGTTGTCTCATTTGCTTTTCATGCCTCAGTAGGCTGTTTGGGCATCCCCTTAGCAAAGGAGTAATTGACTTTTCTCCAGTAAAGTAATGTTCAGTTTATTTAAATGTAATCATTAACTGCCATTTAACCAATGAATCCAGTAAAAATGTTTTAGCTAGCCATGAGAATAAGGACTGTCCTCCAACTGAATTATTTTTACTAGATGATAGTAGTGCCAGCATTGTGTAGTGGTTAGAGTCTTGGACTAACTCTCCTCAAGGACCAGTTGGATTTAAGTAACTGTGAGTTGTGTACCACTGGTCTGCTCAGAATTAGTTTGTTGTTTGAAAGATATGATTCTGAACTCTCTTTTCATGGAACGGGGACAAAAACTGAAGTTTTAATTCAGCAGTTATCTTGCAGTTACTTAAGGGCAGCCTTTAATTTTTCTACTAAGAAATACTGAATAATGACTTTTTGCTTACAAAACAATTTAATTAGATCTGAGTAGTACTGTGGCATTGGTGTAGGTATATACGATTGTAATATCAATGAACTTAAAATGCTAGCAGTGTTGGTTTGATGTCTTAGATTAAAGATGACAAGGAATTAACATCATTAATATTGTGTTCTTTAAAAATCCAGAAGGTTTCTTTTTACAGTCTGTGTTCAAAATTAATATGAAACTGGCTGGAAAATAAATAGGGTTTTTCTAACCTGAGATAACTGTATTGTCTCTTCATTTTTAAGGGACTAACCAGCAAGTGCCTCTCAGGAATGAAACAGAAAACTGTGAGACTTTGAAAAAGCAAATTAATGCAAAGCCTTCCACAGAGAAGATTATAAATAAAGGGTTTAAAGATGAATCATCATGCTGTGGAAAACAGGACATTTCTTCTGCTGAGGTCTTCTACTTTACACTTCTTAAAATATTTAAAATATCTTTTGGGCTCCAATTTTAAGTGGCATGAAGATACATTTTTTCCTAAGAATACATACTTGCACTGATGTAATATTCAAGAAGTATATGTGGGCAGTTCAAAGTATAGTAGTTTGAGAGACTTTCTGAGCCGTTAGACCAGATGCGTATCCACAATTGTTCACGAGTGACTTTAGCAACATCATTGGTTCAGCCTGTTAGTCTGACTTTAAGGCTAATTAACACAGTGATCTTGGAGAGCAAATAGTAATTATGATGTGACTTAGCTTTTAAGAATAATAATAATAATAATAATAATAGTTTGGATTTATACCCCCACCCTTCACTCAGAGTCTCAGAGCGGCTTACAAACTCCCTTCCCCTCCCCACAACAGATACCCTGTGAGGTAGGTGGGGCTGAGAGAGCTCTTTCAAGAACTGCCCTTTCAAGGACAGCTGTGCCAGAACCATGGCTTGCCCAAGGTCATCCAGCAGATGCAAGTGGAGGGGTTGGGAATCAAAGCCGGTTCTCCCAGATTAGAGTCCACACACTTAACCACTACACCAAACTGGCTCTTTGTAAACTTTGCCTTTGTAAAGTTACTGCAACCTTGAATCATTAAGTAAAGAAAACAGTGGCTTGGGTCTAGCAATTCCTGAGCAGGTTTCTGCTGGTTTTCCCTTCTGCCCCTGCTCTGGGTCCTGCACCTCTGAAAAGGCCGTTCCTGGAGATCAGTGGGCTCTTGGGAACAGTGTGTGATATAGTGCAGGTTGCAGGGGGAATCATAAGAACCAGTATCCTGTGTGCAGGTGGATGTGTGCTGCCACTTGTGGCACTTGTATTCAAACCACTAATTTTTAGGTAGAGTTTTTAGGACTGTGCTACATACTCAGAGTCTATGTGCTGCATTACAGCTTAGTGTTAGGTTGGTTAAAACCCACTGCCTTCAATGGGATTTAAGCAGCCTAAATGCAGAATTGCAGCCAAAGCCTGCTTTATACCACTCCCCAATGTTCTTATAGTTCAGATTTACATCCTACTGGTTTTCTCATAGTTCTGGAAGCAGCTGGATTTTCTTTAGGTTAGGTATGTACATCTTGCTATGAACTACTGAAATCTCTATAAGCTTAAATAACTGTTAAGGTAATGTTGTTCCTTATTGTTTCTTTGATAGCTATTCAGGTGAACAAAAAAAAGTGAAGAAAGAGAGGATTTATAGGTGCTGAACTTGTAACCAAACTGGTCATAAATCTGACAGGTGGTTCTGGTTTTAATCCAGCCAGAATTGTATAGACCATTGTTCCCTGGTTCTTAGCCTCTTTATGCCTCTGTGGTGTGTTGTTGAAGAAAGAATCCAGGGGCATGAAGGAGGCGAAGAAAGGTGCATGCTAACAGACTTCACAGTCAGAAAGTTGTGTGTCTAAACTTTTAGCGTTCATATGTGTGACTGAATATTTGTACATGACTATTACTTATGACATTGTATTAATCAAACATTGATTCACTTTTATAATCTTGAGCACCTGAGTTTTCTCACTAGGTCCTGTTCTTGCCTTTCAGTCAGAAGTTGCTCATCGGAAAAATGGGTCTCAGGAGAAAAGAGAAGGAAATTTACCAAATACAAATTGGAATAGGAATAGAACAAATAGGAAAAACAAGAAGAAGCATGTTAATATATCTATGCGGTATGTTTTCCTAGCTTCCAGAGTTCCTCCAGTTTTTAATTCTTCAAGGCTTGCAACATTTCCCTCAGTTTTCTTTGGGTAGCATTTGTATTTAGCTCCTGTAAGAAGTGCCTTAAAGTGGTATTATAGCCTCTCTGAGAAGTAGACTAGGTTTGGGGGGCTTTGTCTTCTAATACCACACACAATTTCTATTGTTACCAATTAATTGATAACTGTAATGGTTGGAAATTAAAATTGATTTCTCTTTTTATTGTTTGGGGTTGCCGCAGGCTTCCTGAGCAGGCTGAGCTGAAGCATGTATGCAGTGAATTTGAAAGACCTGAACTTCGAACTAACATTAATATCAGAAACTGGTGCACTCAAAGCAATGGCGAAAGTTGTAAAGTAGATGAGAAAGCTATTCTGTCTACACAGAGAGAAGCTGGTATGTTGTTAAAAGTGTACAAGTAGCACATAACTTTTTAAGTCTTAGTAGAAGTCCACTAACACAGCAGGTTCTAGAGTGTGACTCTGCTACGTTCTGAATCTGTCGCCTTTGGGGGTGGACAGTCTTGGCCAATGAGGGGGGACTTGGGAGGGTGAGGCTGCAATGTCACCTGTATGAAAGCTCTGTATAGCCCAAGAAGCACAGAAGCAGGCAAAATTTAGGAATGCTTTCTACATGCGGTATTGTGTCCCAGCCACCTTTCTGCTGTGAATGTATGCCTCCAGACTCTTGTTGACAAAATACAAATCCCAAAATACAGTGTCCTTGCCTATTAGCACGAGAAAGATGATGAGAGGTGCAAGACCTTGTTTTGTTCTGTGTTTCCCAAATGCACCAGAAGGTTTCTATCAGTGGCCCAAGCAGAAGTGCATGGATAGGTTTTGCTCGGATTCAAGCTCTGACTGCGGAAGCTCTTCTGGGAGCGTGCGTGCCAGTCGAGGCAGTTGGGGCAGCTGGAGCAGCACCAGTAGCTCTGACGGTGATAAGAAACCAGTGATTCCCGGCAGACACTTCCTTCCTTCTCGTAAGTACTAGGAATGCCACCTGTCCTTTGCTTTTACAAAATGATGCATGGGATAGAGATAGAGATAGGGTAGATTTACAAAAATATGCATGGGAAAGAGAAGGTACAGAAAGAAGTACTTTTCTCCCTTTTCCACAATGCAAGAACTGGTGGGCACTCAATGAAATTGACGAGCAGTAGGTTTAGAACAGATAAAAGGAAGTATTTCTTCACCCAAAGAGTAATTAACATGTGGAATTAACTGCCACAGGAAGTGGTGGCAGCTACAAGCAAAGACAGCTTCAAGACAGGATTGGATAAATATATGGAGCAGAGGTCCATCAGTAGCTATTGCCACAAGGTATAGATGGAACACTATGTCTGGGGCAGTTATGCTCTGTATTCTTGGTGCTTGGGGGCCACCGTGGGAGGGCTTCTGGAGTTCTGGCCCTGCTGGTGGACCTCCTAATGACAGCTGAGTTTTGGTCACTGTGTGACATAGAGTGTTGGACTAGATGGGCCACTGGCCTGATCCAGCGTGATGTATGTTATGTTCTTATGCTGCATTTTGGGTATTTTTGAAAAGCACCACATTCTGCCCACTATGGGTACCTTTCTTGAGTGCTCTGTTCAGTAGCTGAAATTCTAAAAATTAACTATGAGTTGTCAGTAAAATATTTTGCAGAAAAGATTGTTGTTTGTTTTTTGACTGTGGATCAGAAAGGCTCCTACAGAACCCTTCATCTCTTTTCAGTCTCCTGTGTTGTTAGTGGATGTGAGGGTAGTTGAATAGGCCCCTTTCCCACAAGGAACAAGAGTCAGAAGTAGCACATTTTGAATTGAATTTCACTGATTGAACTACATGCCTCATCAGCCATTGGGTGACCCTACAGAAGCATGTTGTTAACCGATATACAAATCCTTATGACATTTGTTAAGGATGAATAGCATTATTTTTAAAAGGAGAACATTCACATAGTTAAATTTTAGATGCATCCTGCAACAGAGAAGTAGGCATTTTTGGGGTTAAGTGAGTCTACTTTTTCCCTTAGGAGTATTTTCCAAACTTCTTGCTTGCTTCACATTTCCTGGGATTGTTAGTTTAATGCATTTTAAAATCCTGGTCTTATGAACTGCTGGTAATTTATGCTGTCAAATCTAAAGCTGCATCTTAATGGTGGCAATCAGAACAGAGCAATCTATCAAAGACGGTCCAAGGCAGTGTAGCTATTACTGACTTTGGGAACTGATGAAAGGCTCTCTAGATGCAGTTCATGGGGCTGTCTTCCATCTTGCTATGAACTACTGAAATTTCTATAAGCAAGTGAAAAAAAACATTCACAATCCCTGCCTTGATATGTGTCTTTCTTGATAAATCCATGCAGTCATAGCACTTAGTACCTGTCCCAGATTATTGTCATCAAAATGTTTTATTTCACATTTTTGTGTCTGTGTTTTTGTGCAGGGGAAAATATTCCATGCAGTGATTTTCCAGCTGAAACACCCATCACTTTAAATCTCTCTCACAACATCTGCAACACCAGGTAAAGTCTGGAAAGCAATAAAACACCAACGGCTTCAGATCAAGTTAGCAGATGAAGCAAAAGTAAAATAATTCTTGAAAGTAACCTTAGAATGTTGAGTAGTGCTTTATTTGGTAGGTTATTCTTTTGTTAAAAAAAAAAAGGAGAACAGCTATTGACAGTAAATACATTTTTAAAAACCCTGTATCAAGCAACACTGCATCCCCATGCAACCAAAATAGAGATGTGCCTTATCATCTGCTTCTGGCTTTTGTGGTGTTAGTGGCTGTCAAAAGTTATGACGGGTTTGTCAAGGAGAAAACCACAAAGTGTCAGAGTGTGAATCCTCACAATCCCAGGAAGTAACATGTTACCATTAGTCCCCTGAATGAACTCGCCAGCCAGAGATAGTGTGTCTTGCCCTCCCAGGTCTAAGATCAAGAACTCTGCCCTGCAAGATAGGACACTTGCAAGCTGAGTTAAAAAACAAACAAACAAAAAAACCCTTTGGTAGCTGTAGCCAGTAGGCCTAAAGTACTGGATTCAGACTGAAGCCCCAAAACCCAAGAACACCCCAAAATATAGTTAATAGGATTTGTTAAAGGAATGTGCAGAGATATCCAATATAAGAGCAGTGAACAGCAAGAATAAAATAGTAAAAACTAAATATTTAACCTAAGCACTTTTACAGGCATTGGTTCTCTAAATCCAGATGTTACCTGACCAGACTGAGTCCAAACAGAGTTTCAAATCTGCAGCAGGTGTCTGACCAGAAAGACCCATCTGGTCAAGAATCAAAAGGTGACCCAAGAGCCACCCCGAGCCTGCTTCAGCAAGGAGAGTGGGGTATAAATTAAATAAACACACAAAAAATAAATAAATAAGACAGATATAGTACAGACAGAGGGCTAAGAGTAGAATGAAAGATCTTCCTTTATGCCAAACTACTGGTGTTGCCATTATTCTAGTTAACCAATCAAATGTATGGCTAATAATGCAACTGGACCAGTCAGATATGTTGCTAACAGGGCTTTAGCCAATCAGGTGTGTTGCTATCATGAGACCATAGACTCTGCAGCTGTACAGGACCTAATTAAGCAAGGCACCTTGTCCCACCCATAGGTCTATGCACTAACAAGATGGAATGTGTAGGCAAAACTCCTTCCCTGGGTTCTTTGGCCTTGAAGCCTCTAGGCTCAAGTGAATTCACTAGCCCCTATGCTGATTCCCTTCTTTCCTTATTTTGTTAACTGCAGTCAGTATGACCTCAAGTTCTCAGAGAAACTGGTATGATTTTTGTAGGCCTCAAGCCTGAACCAATGTTTCAAAAAAGAGGCTGTTGGGTAAGCCAGTCTCTTGACAGTGGCTTTGAGTGTAAATTATTCCTCTTACTGAGTAAAAATAATATGTCGTAATTTGCCTTTAGCAGAGATGTGAATAATGTGTCCCAGTTTCCAGAGAATCTGTGCCCCAACTTCGCTGACATAACTGCAGATCCAGACAAGAATAAAGGTCTGTTAATTAAAATCCGATATTGCTCTTTGAATAATGTACATATGCACTGTACCATGATAGTAATCAACATTTTTAGTTTATGTAAGTTAGTGATCACTGACCTCGAGCCAGACATCCTGAACTGCAAAGTCAAATAGGCCTTAGAAAGCATTACTAATAACAAAGCTAGCAGAGGTGATGGTATTCCAGCTGAGCTATTCAGAGTCTTAAAAGATGATGCTGTTAAAGTGCTGCACTCAATATGCCAGCAAATTTGGAAAATGCAACAGTGACCACAGGATTTGAAAAGGTCAGTTTACATTCCAGTCCCAAAGAAGGGCAATGCCAAGGAATGTTCGAACTATCGCACAGTTGCACTCATTTCACATGCTAGCAAGGTTATGCTCAAGATCCTACAAGCTGGGTTTTGAAGAGGTAGAGGAACTAGAAATCAAATTGCCAGCATTCACTGGATTATGGAGAAAGCAAGGGAGTACCAGAAAAACATCTACTTCTGCTTCATTGACTATGCTAAAGCCTTTGATTGTGTGGATCACAACAAACTGTGGCAAGTCCTTAAAGAGATGGGAGTACCAGACCACCTCACATGTCTCCTGAGAAACCTGTATAAGGGTCAAGAAGCGACAGTTAGAACCAGATATGGAAAGGAGTACAACAAGGATGTATATTGTCACCCTGCTTATTTAATTTATATGCAGAGTACATCATGCAAAATGCTGGCCTGAATGAATCACAAGCCAGAATGAAGATTGCCGGGGAAAACATCAACAACCTCGGCTATGCAGACGATACCACTCTAATGACAGTGAAGAGGACCTTAAGAGCCTCTTGCTCAGAGTGAAAGAGGAGAGCGCAAAAGTTGGCTTGAAACTCAACATCAAAAGAACTAAGATCATGGCATCCAGCCCCATCAATCCTTGGCAAATAGAATGGGAAATCATGGAAGCAGTGACAGAATTCACGATCTTCGAAGTGCTCTCTGTGCTTCACACCCATGGGATCTAGTGCGCACGCGCTGGATCGATTGGCATTCTAGCAAGCTCTTTAACGGATTTTCGTGCCCAGTCCCTCGGGCATGCGCAGGAACCCCACCACGCATGCCCAGACGGGTGGGCGTGGACATCCCGCCAGTTCCTTTCTTACCGCCGTGTTGGAAAGACCTCTTTCTTCATTGGTCTGATCGGTTCGAGTATTTTGCCTTTTTGCCTCACGGCTCTTTGAATTTCTTTCCTCAGTTCATTCCTTTTATTCGTTATTCTTTCAAAAACTTTAAAAAAACACTTTATTTTCTGCTGAGGGGGATTTTGCTGATTTACCTCAGTCGGGTCTTCGGGCTAATCCCCCATCAGCCCTTCTTTCTTCTTCACTTTGGTTTTTATGGAGAAGTGGGGCTTTTTTAATAGGTGCAAGGGTTGCGGTAGTAAACTTCTGCATGGTGTCCTTACAGCAGATTATGCCACCCCTATGGAAACACGTCTGGATGGCCACCCTCGACCTCCAAGACACGTACTTCCACCTCACCATCCACCCCTCCCACCGCCAATACCTACGCTTCGTGATTGGTCAACAGCATTACCAGCATGCAGCCCTGCCATTCGGCCTGTCCAGCGCCCCAGGAGTCTTCACAAAGACTATGATTGTGGTTGTGGCTTTCCTTCATCTCCGGGGTATCTCCATCTACCCCTATATCGACGATTAGCTTTTGGTAGCGCCTTCCCAGAACACCCTGGTTTCAAACATCACCGAGTCACTGGCACTATTAAAAAATCTGGGCCTACAAGTCGATCGAGAAAAGTCTCAATTGAGTCCAGTCCAAAGAATAAAGTACATCGGCGCTATACTAGATTCCACGACATGCATGGCTTACCTGCCTCAAGACAGAGCGGCAGACATCATTTCCTTAGCCACCGTCGTCCGTACCCACCCTTCTGTCACTGCCTTCCAAATCCAAAGGCTGCTTGGCCTTATGGCTGGAACTACGTCGGTTCTCTGCCAAATTGAAAATGCATCGTTTACAACTGTGGTTCATCCAGAATTACAACCCAGTGAACAACGCTCACACTGTTGTCCTATCCCCCCCTCCCAACATACGAGACTCGTTACTTTGGTGGACTGTCCCTTCCAATATCTTCCAGGGAGCACCTTTCCACCCTCCGTCACCCCAAATTACCCTGACCACGGATGCTTCCCTGTCGGGATGGGGTGCACACATGATGGGTCTGTGCGTCGGGGGCAAGTGGAACACTCACGAGCAAGGTCGACACATAAACTTCCTGGAACTGCTCGCAATTCAGTTTGTGGTCATGAGTTTCCTACCAATAATCAAAGGGAAATGTATTACGGTCCTCATGGACAATACCACCGCGCTCAGTTATATAAACAAACAAGGAGGCACGGTCTCCCTACGTCTCTGCAACCTCACCATTCAGTGATGGGACTTTTGCATCGCCCATGATATCTTTTTGGTAGCCACGCACATCCCAGGTCACCTGAATGTGGAGGCAGATCATTTACGTCGAGCAAGGCTCAGTCTCAACAAGTGGGAGATGAACCCGTCCTATCTTTTCCCGCTCTTCTGCAGGTGGGGAACTCCCCAAGTCGATGTTTTCGCCACCAGAGCCAACAAAAAATGTCCCCTGTTCTGCAGTCGAGGCAGCAGGGACTCACAATCTCTCAGAGACTGTCTCCTTCTTCCCTGGTCCACGGGCCTTCTGTACCTTTTCCCTCCCTTACCCCTGCTTCTGAGAGTGGTACGCAAGATCATCCGAGACGGAGCGGACTGCATGTTGATAACACTGTGGTGGCCGAGACAACCATGGTTCTCGACAGTCCTCGAGTTGTCAAAGGGAATATACCACCAATTCCCTCCGGTACAGGACCTCCTCTTCCTGTCAGACTCCCCTCTCCTACATCACAACATACCACGCTTGAAATTGACGGCATGGAGAATAACGCCAAAGGTTTTTCGACCCGCGTAGCCAATGTTCTACTGAACGCCAGGAAACCTGCTACGCAAAGGTCTTTCTGTCTTGGAAGACGGCCTTTCTGGTGGCCATCACCTCTGCAAGGCGAGTCGGAGAAATACTGGCTTACAGGGATGACACGCCATACTTGTCCTTTTTGCCAGACGGCATCCGCCTTGCCCCTGACATTTCATTCCTGCCAAAGGTAGTGTCAGAGTTCCACCTATAGGCAGAGGTCTTCCTTCTGGATTTCTTCCCAGCTCCGAAATCTCCAGAGGAGAGACTGTTACATACCTTGGATGTCAAAAGGGCACTCCTGTTCTACCTCAACAGAACCCGCCCAACGAGACGTGACTCCCAACTGTTCGTCTCATACGTACCAGCGAGGCTGGGGACTCGCATCACGGCTCAACACCTCTCAAAGTGGATTGCGGGTCTCATCCACCTCTGCTACTTGATTGCAAAGCAGCCGTTGCCTGACCCCATCAAGACCCATTCACTGCCTTCTTCCAGGGAGTACCCCTGACGGACATCTGCAAGGCTGCTACCTGGGCCACGCCTAACACCTTTATGAGGCACTACGCCCCAGACGTTTGTAAGAACTCTAATACCAACATGGAACTTCACATTCTATCTTCAGTGACTCAGTAAGGACCTGCCAGCACCCTCCTCCAGGTAGGCCACTGCTTGCTAATCTCCCATGGTTCACACCACCCGCCCTCCTTCCCCGCTGCTGTCAACTTCTACATTTTCTATAGGGGTTGATTTGCAGCGGTTCAAAGGAACTGGCGGGATGTCCGTGCCCACCCCTCTGGGCATGCGTGGTGGGGTTCCTGCGCATGCCCGAGCGACTGGGCGTGAAAATCCGTTAAAGAGCTTGCTACAATGCCGATCGATCCAGCGAGTGCGCACTAGATTCCATGGGTGTGAATGCAGAGATGACCACTCGAAGATCATCAGTTACAGGTAAGCAGCCTGTTTTTCCTGGGATCCAAGATCATTGCAGATGGTGACTGCAACCATGAAATTAAAAGATGCCTGTTCCTTGGGAGGAAAGCGATGGCAAACCTAGACAGCATAATAAAAAGTAGAGATGTCACCCTGCCCACAAAAGTCTGTATGGTCAAAGCAATCGTATTCCCAGTAGTAATGTATGGCTGCAAGAGTCGGACCATAAGGCAAGGCTGAGTGCCGAAGAATAGATGCTTTCAAATTATGGTGCTGGAGAAGACCCTTGAGAATCCCTTGGACTGCAAGGAGATCAAATCAGTCAATCCTAAAAGAAATCAACCCTGACTGTTCCCTGGAAGGCCAGATACTGAAGCTGAAGCTCAAATACTTCGGCTACCAAATAAGAAGAGAGCACTCACTGGAGAAGACCCTGATGCTGGGAAAGATTGAAGGTAAAAGAAGAAGGGGATAGCAAAGGGTGAGATGGTTAGACCGTGTTATCGATGCAAAAGCATGAAATTAAACATACTCAGGAGGAGGATGGAAGACAGAAGGGCCTGGTGTGATGTGATCCATTGGGTCGTGAAAAGTCGGACTTGACTGCGACTGAAGAACAACAAAAGTTTCCAACTCTTCTTCCTTGTGTTTGCTATCTTATCAGTTTTCTTAATTTTTCCAATTAGTGTTGCTACTGCCCAGCCAATGGGGAATACAGTTTCAGTCGTTTTACCCAGGTTACATACATTAATATGAGTGTTTTATGGGTCTAGTTTCATAGCATATGATTTCAAAGGAAAGTGTTACCTTTTCTTTCTTGTTTACAGCCTAATTTTCCCTCCAAGTTGCCAATGTGTTCATCTTTCATGTCTTGTCTGAATGTGTATTTGACTTTTTGCACTTTTGTTCAGAGGTGTTGCATCAAAATAACAAAGATTTCTTATTTGGAAGTAGTTTTACAGTAAAGCATCAAACTACTAATTAACAGGGATCTGTGCTCAGATCCCCCCAACATGTATCTTAACTGCAAAAAGCAGTGGGTGGAGAGGAAGGTGATATGCATTAGTGTCACTGTATGGGGGAGGTTGAGTTTAACCCCTCAGCACTATATCCCCAGTCAAAAATGGCCTTCCAGGGTGCTATAAACTATAGGAACTATATTGTGCCTTCCTTTTTACCCTGCTGGACTTAAAGGAGCTTGCAGGACCATTTTTGCTTAGGACCCTTCCACACCACAATAACCCAGATACATATTCCAGCCCATGACTGCTTTTGCAGCTAAATTATTATTCAGAAGATCTGATCACTAATTCACAATGTAATATGTAGTTTGGATGTAACACAGTTTATAGAAAATAGGAAAGCTCAACACAGGCTTTGAATTTATTGTTCCAGCCTTTTCTTTAATTCATATGCAATTTTTTAATGTATGGTGTTCCATCCTATACAACCACACCTGAAGCCAGGGGTTGGGGGGGCAGTTGATGCAGCAGAAATCACTGCCCCATCCCTCACCTGAGTCAGGCAAGAAGTGGATGCAATTGCTGCCAGTTCGTTCTCCCACACAATACGCTGAATTTTCAGGAAGCTGCTTTTCAGGAGTGCAGTGAGAAAGGGCAAAAATCTGTCCCACAACCCTACTGCGTTGTAGATCCATCCCATTATGTTTATATATATTAAGTACAGGGGTCATTTCGTAGAAAAAGAGCTAGGGGGACTCATTAGCATATGCCACACCCCCTGACATCACCGGAAGTGTGTCCTCCCCACAGCCGGCGGCAACCTCCAGCGGGCACCCAGCAGGGAGCTCCAGGCCCCGCCCTCCCGCACCTCACCCGGGGGGATGGCATCCCCCCGCGTCCCCCCCCAAATGACCCCTGATTAAGTACAAAAAAATATTTCGATAACAATGATTTAAACAAACAATAAAATTATCATCCAGCAGGAAAGCATCAGATTTGTTTCTAATGATTTATTGTACCATTGTTACTTTTAAAACATCTTTCTTGATATCTGATGGCATTTTTATTGTAGAGCTGAATTTCGCTGTACTCGTGCTGAAAGGTTTCATAGATTGTGCTTTCAACCTGCATCTCTAGGTCTCTATCCAGCTGGAGATTTGTGGCCTCCGCCGCCCATCTGCCTAGCAAACAGTGTAAACTACAGCCTTGAGAACAACATACCATGCATGATCCAGGAGAACTCTTCCGTACACAATGGGCAGGTTTTCTTTTTCTCTTCTTCTAGAGCTCTGCTGAGATTTTGCAAATTGATTTGTTTTACAGCTTTATTAGTGCTTCAGGAACATTAAGTTTTGCTTTGTCTTGTAATAGCTTCATTGATTGGAATGCATCCTGTGAGGGCCAGTTTACCAATATGTACTGTCCGGTACAAGTGAATGAGTACAGCGCTTTTCCAGAAGGTAAGCCTCCTTCCAAGCCATGGGCAGTTTAATATGAAACAAGCATAGGAAAAGGGAAATGGCCTGGGCTGTTGGCACAATTGCCCCTAAGCTCCCTCTCCCCCCAGACAGAGCAAAGCAGTTTCCCTGGTTTACTGGGGAATTGGTGCTGATGAAAAGAGAGTGATAATGGTAAGGATGCCACTGGCGGAAACCTTGGAGTGAGTCTAATCAAACACGAAAAACTTGGAGTGAGACTGATCATATTAGAGCCTATTCCATAATGGTGATAATGGCGAAAAGGCAATAATTCTCGGCCATTGTGTCTACGTATAATTGTCCAGCTGAGCTGGTTTGTGTGGTTCACGGCCCCCAGGGAACTGGATTCTGACCACACAATGGCCCACTGTGATCTGTTTGCTGCATTGCAGACAAAATTACCCAGAGCCACTCTGGGTTAGATGCCAACGCAGATAAATGTTCAGATGATGTACCTTTGGCACCTGCTTGTGGATACCTTTCGGTTTGTGAAGCCCAGGAGTACAGACAAGATCCATGGAGAGTTGAGGCATACCACCTGTGTTCTCAACCCTGACCAATAAAAGCTGCCAGAGGGGGACTGGCTGAGTGGATAAGGGGAGTGGTAAATGCTTCTTTGAGGGTGGGTATTGTGCTGCCCAGGCTTAAGGAAGCAGTGATTAGACCTGTTTTGGAAAAAATCTCCTTAAGCCCTACTATATTGGAGAGCTTCCAACCAGTATTCCAGTTCTTGGGCAAGGTGCTTGAGGGACTTCAGATCTCTTCTTCTTGGGTGGGATTATACTTCCCTTGAAAAGCCAGCTTTGCAGTTTGGGGGTGCTGCTGGACAAGGTGGTCACCTTAGAAAACCCAGGGGCTGCAGCAGTCTGGAGTGCTTTTGCCCAGCTTCGGCTAGTGCGTCAGCTGCTTCCTTTCCTGGGTCAGTTAGATGGAACCACAGTGATCCATGCCTTAGTTATGTCTAGATGGAAGTACTGCAATACACTCTACTTGGGGCTATCCTTTAAGAGCATTCAGAAGCTGCAGCTAGTAGTGCAGAACGCTTCATCTCTTGGGACCAGAGTATCTGAAGGACCATCTTCTCTCATATTTTCCTGCCCCATGATCATGAAACAATTGCTCCAGGGAGGTGTTCCTGGCCCCCTCATTTTCAGTCTTCAGGAGGCAGTTGAAGACTGTTTTGTTTAGACCTGCATTTAATTAAAGCCGTCCTAAATTGTGAGCTTAAATTTTGATTTTATCTTTTTAGTGTTTTAATATATTTTATTAATATTGTAAGCTGTTTTGAGCTTGGTTAATAAATGTTTAAAATAATAAACATACTTTTATTAGGGTCTGCATCTAACCACATGTCTGGTATTTAGTGCTTGGCTGAATAACATTAGCATAAGTGCAGCTTCCCTGCATTATCCCAGCACCCACGGATTCTTCACTATTTGCCTAGCTACCCACTTGCTTTCATGCCATGGTGTTGAAGTCCACATTGAACTCGTGTCCAGCTGATAACATTCTGACACAGTAGGCCTGCTTACAATCTCACAAGCTCTGCATCCTCCCCAGACAAGTCAAAATTAAAGCAAAATATATGATCCAATTTAAGACTGCACTACACCATGAAATGTCCTGTTTATTAATGAAAGGTTCAGGGGTGGCCATAGAATTATGTCATCAGGTGACAGCTAGATGGTTCTCTGGCTGCAGTGTCTGAAATTGAGAACTCAGGTTCATTCATCAGTGTTTCATATTTAGTCATGAGTTGAGCAATGTGATGGAGTTCCTGACAGCATTACACTTTCCCTGGAGTGGAGGAGACTATCATTAAGATGCACTACAGAATCTAGCCTGTCCAGGGGGCTTCTGCTTGCTAGGGTTAATGGATTTGGTACAGCATACTTATGATGTGGAAGCATTTTTTCTTGTAGTGACAAAATACCCCATACTTTTAAGTTTGACTGCCGGTTGTAGCCCTGGGGTGATTTATAAAACACACTAAGCCATACCTCTTTTTGCTGTAAAAGTGCCTAAGGTTCTATTAGTAGTAAATAACTGTTATGTGCATTTTTAATAAATTTTCCTTGAGAAGAAGGTAAGAATTCTTGTTGTTGTCTAGGAGCTTAGATAATGGGTTTTTAATGTATGTCTTCCTTTCTTCTAAACTATAGAAAATATGAACTACCATAATGGCTTCCCATGCACTGCAGAAGTTCAGAATACAGCCTTCGTTGATCACAACTGTCCATCTACTTGGAGCACCCCACCTAACCTCCCTCCACCCTGGGAATCAGCCAATTATGTCAACTCAACAGTGAGTATCACAAGTGTTACCTTACCTGTTACAATCATTTATCAATCATTTATTTTAACAGCTCATTCTACTTCAAAGGGCTCTTTATAGCCACACACTTCAAAATTTAAGCCTCACCAGTTCAATTTCTCTTCTAGTCCTGTTGTTTATTTAATGTGCAACATTTATAAGCCGCCAAGGCAACTGTTAACAGGGCATGTACATGTGGGTGCAAGTGCTTCCACTTAACAAATGCCTATCTAAGGACCAAACCAGATGAGATTCTGAGACCTCCGTGAACGGAGCTTCCAGCCCTTTTCTCTTCAGAGGTCAGGTGTGGAAGGAAACAATTCCTATTGAAACCACAGCATGAGAGGGGAAAGGAAGCATTATGTATTCCCTTGGTACAGGGCCCTAACCTGAAAAGGCCCCAGGGAGCTGCCATTTGCCCCACTGTGTAATCTTTGCCTTTGTATCAGTAACTGTATACTTGCCACAGCTGGACAAATAGCGGTTCCTTTGGGGCCATTTCAGTTCAGGGGAATGGTACAGGAAGAAGGTTTTATAACTTCCTCCCTGACATCATCTTACTGGCAGGAAGTAGGACCCCGTACACCTGATTAAAGAAAAACATGCTGGCTGTTCAGTTCATGGGACTCAAAAGTGTCTTGTCTCGCTTTTCTCCCTAGGCGTTCTTGTCTTTCCTCCATTTTGAGTTCTTTGTTTCTAAATGCACCCAGTTGCATTCCATGGCATTTGTTCTTGTCTTTCAGCCCTACCTCTCAAGCACCAGAAGTTTGTCGCCCATGTCTGGACTGTTTGGTTCCATCTGGGCCCCTCAGAGTGATGTTTATGAAAGCTGCTGCCCAGTCAGTGCCACCACTCAGCATTCAACTCAGGTTGAAAACCAGGCGGTGATGTGTAAGCAGGAATACTACCCAAGATTTAACCCATTCCGTGCCTACATGAACTTGGACATATGGACTTCAGCAGCCAACCGGAATGCAAACTTCCCTCTTTCGAGGGACTCGGGTTATTGTGGAAACATATGAAAAGGAATCTGGTTTTTAAAATGTGAAGTAAAGATGCTTTCAGTTTTGATTATAGAATAAGCTGGTTGTTGAACTAGAATTCAATGTTGGTGGATATTTTGGCACTTTTGTATGGAAAATAAATTTTTTTTTACTGATGGCTTTGGATTTTATGTTTTCTTAGCAACCTTCGTAACCCCAGCAGGGGTTGGTGGAACTACAAATTGCTGTCCCTGGTAGGAGAGGGAAAGCCTGATTCCCTTGCTGAGGAAAGCCTTCTCTGAAATGAGCATCTACTGGATTCTGCGGATCCAATCATTTTGAGAGCTCTGTGACTATGCTTCAGAAGAGTTATACATCGTATCATGTTTGCTATCCCAGTAAAACCATATTAATTGCCTCGCTGGTTCAAACAAAGGGTCATGAAGCCCAGCATTCTGTGTCCAGCCGTGGCCACACAAATTCCTTTGGGAAGCTCACAGGCAGAACATGTTAATGGTTGCAATTCCTTCTAGTTTTCCTCTGGGGTCTGATCCACTCCATTTAGCTAGCATATATAAAAAGTAATGATAGATCTGTCATCCCTTAGTGAGTATTTTTAAAGCCTCCTAAGCTTCTAGCCAGTACCAGTTTTGTTGTAGTGAATTTCATAAATTATGGCTGCACTCGGATATTACATGTAAGCAGCATGTACATGAATTTGCCTGTTGCCGAGCTCATGTGAGTTCCTCCCTCCTCCCCTCCCCTCCCCTGTTGAGGAATCCTGGCTAGAAGCACCTCCAGGTATCTGTGATATATTTACATAGAGTGGGGAGGAAGACTCACTCTGGTGACCCTATATGCAGGTATCAGGGGTAATCAGTGCTTATTTCTGTGAATGGAGGAGAGACTGAGGGATGAGGTGAATTTGAACATGTCAGTTTAAGAATGATTGAATGCAGTGTCTGGAGGCAGCCTATGCACTGGGTGAAGAAGTACTTCCTTCTGTCAGTCTTGTCTCAGGACACAAAGAATCACAGAATCATAGAATTGGAAATGACCTCCAAGGGTCATCTAGTCAAACCTCCTGCACAATGCAGGAAATTCACAACCCCACCCCCAGTGACCCTTGTTCCATGCCCAGAAGATGGCAAAAAACCTCCATGATCCCCGGCCAAACTGGCCTGGAGAAAAATTGCTTCCAGATCAGCATTTTCCTGGACGTGTAAGAAAGGGCCACAAGAACTAAGCACTGATGCCACCCTTCCTGCCTTCCGTCTTATGATCTGCCCAAGTTCACAAAATCAGCAGTGCTGTCAGATGGCCATCTAACCTCTATTAAAAAACCTCCGAAGAAGGAGAGCCCACCACCTCCTGAGGAAGCCTATGCCACTGAGGAACCACTCTGTCAGGAAGTTGTTCCTAATGTTTAGCCAAAAACTCTTCTGATTTAATTTCAAGCCATTGGTTCTGGTCCGACCTTCTGGGGCAACAGAAAACAACTCCATACCATCCTCTCTATGACAGCCCTTCAAGCACTTATCATATTACCTCTCAGTCATCTCCTCTCCAGGCTAAACATACCCAGCTCCTTCAACCTTTCTTCATAGGACTTGGTCTCCAGACCCCTCACCATCTTCGTTGCCCTCCTCTGGACACGTTCCGTCTTGTCTATAATCTTCTTAAATTGAGGTGCCCCAAAATGAAAACAATACTCTAGGTGAGGTCTAACCAGAGCAGAGTAAAGCGATGCCATCACTTCGTGTGATCTGGACACTTTACTTCTGTTGATACAGCCCAAAATCACATCCCTTTTTGACTACTGCATCACACTTCATGTTCAGTGTATGGTCTACTAAGACTCCTAGATCCTTTTTGCACATACTACTGCCAAGAAAAGTCTCCCCCAACCTATAATTATGCGTTTGATTTTTCCTACCTAAATGCAGAATTATCCTTGAGTAATTTTGTGTCCTCTTCAAACTTGACTACCTTACCATTCCCCTCTGAATTCATAAGAACACAAGAAGAGCCCTGTAATGGATCAGACCAGTGGTCTATCTAGTTTCTCATCCTTTTTCACATGGTGGCCAGCCAGTTCCTCTGGAGGGCCAACAAACTGGACCTAGAGGCTGATGCCTTACCCTGATGCTGCCCCCTAAAATTGGAATCCAGATGTTTTACTGCCTCTGAACATGAAGGTTCCCTTTAGCCACTATGGACAGTAGCCACAGATGAACCTCTGCTCTATATTTTGTTGAGATTTAGACAGGAGAACTGTGCTTGTGAAGTGAAACTTCCTGGAAATTTTAATTAGAGTGATTTCCTAACTGTAATGGCTGGAAAAAAAAAGTTGAAACATGAAGGGAATGTCCATAATATACCCGTGGCAATCCTAAGCACTTGGAAACATACCACTACTTTTAGGGGGATTTATGTCTCAGTACACATGCTCTGGATTTAGATGTAAGTATCTTGCATACCTTCCTGGCTAAGAAAGGCAATACAAGTAGGGTTTTGGAGAAAATCTCCCTGCTTTTTTGCCTTTTGCAAGTCCAGTCCTTGCAAAAACACCTTATATTTCTGCCAATGCGAAGATGTTGTAATTAGAATAATTTACATGGACTAAAGTAAAGCTTTTTGGTGATTTTTGTGAGAGTCCTCAATCAAAGTTCTTTTGTCAAAGAATTAGAGGGTCAGTCACAGCAAATTTAGGAATTAACAGTTCGTAACTGTGTTTTCTCCAGTGGTTCAGCTTGTGGGACAGTCCTTAAGTATGGGATAAGCTCCACCTCCTTAAGGAGGGTCAGCCTCAAGCTTTGAATCCTGGCGGGGAGGGGCTTATCCCCCGTTGATGTCCCAGTTCTTGCCGGCCCTGCTTGGAAGCAGGACGTGCTCGAGCAGCACTGCACAGCACAGCAAGTGAAGAACAGATAAGGAAGAACTTAAAAAAGAAAATACGTGCCAAGGCATGCTGGTGCCGGATCGATCAGCGGCATGCGGAGGGTAGTCGGTCCTGGGAGATCCCTGGCTACTGCATTGCTCACGTGGCCCTCGGGAAGCACTTGCCAGCAGGGCCGGCCCAAGGGTTTTTTGCACCCTAGGCAGGGCTACCTTCTAGGCCCCCCCCCTGTGCACCCAAGTATGTGGTTGCCAACCTCCAGGCGAGGCCTGGAGAGGCGGAAGCCCTCCTCCTTGGGACCGCCCCCTCCGCCCACCTGGCTGCCTGCCCTGCTCCTCCAGTGCACTCCAAGCTGCGAACCCCTGGCTTGGCGTGCAGGCGCCCGTGCGGGCTTCTCCCAGCTTCTCCCTTGGGGGGGGGGGGAAACAGCAACCTTAATTGTGTGGGGGGAGGGGCCACGCTTCTCCCTTTAGTGGGGGGGGAACCAGCGACCTTCCTTGTGTGTGTGTGTGGGGGGGCCACCAGGAACCGCCACGCCACGCAGGAGAACCTCGCCTGCCTCCCCAGCCATCCTTTTGCCGCCACCGCCTCCTCCCCCACGCTGCTGCTGCCACCGAAGGAGGGGGAGGCACACCTCAGCTCAGGAAGGATGTGGCTCCAGAGCAAACTAATTAATGCAGCAGCCAAATCGCCCGCTCAGAACTTTAATGCCAGCAGCTCACAAAGTAGGATTTTTGCTCACGAAACACCACAGCTTCAAGGGAGCCTTGGTCCCAGCCAGGGCGGGGTAGAAATCCAATCCGATCGATCGATCAAACCTGGACCCTCCAGCTGAGGCAACTGGGGGGGGGGGGGAGCGCCGGTCCCTCCTCTGCCCCCTCCAAGTGCCAGCGCCTGCCTAGCCACCTGGGGCCAGCATCTCCGGAGCCCTGGCTGCTGCTGTTGAGTGGAGCCAAGCGGCGTCGACGTCGGGCGCTCCGGAGCAGAGTCCGGCCGGCTGGCTGCTGGGGCCATGGAGCTGCAGGCGGGCCGCAGCGGAGGAGGAGGAGGCGGCAGCAGTAGCAGCACCAGGGCAGCTGGCCCGCTGGAGCGCCGGCTGGGCGCAGTGGGCCCTGGATTGCCAGCCCATGCCGGGCGGCTGCCGCAGCAGCTCCCACGCCTGGCGCCGCTGCCGGGGCTGCACTGAGCCGTGCCCACTGCTGAGGAAGAGGAGGAAGAGGAGCGCCCCTGCCCCCTATGGCGCCCTCTGCCTCCTCGCTGTGTTCCTTCCTCCCTCCCTCCCCTGCTTCCCTCCCTCGACACAGGGAGAGAGAGAGAGAGAGGGGCGGGTGGGCAGAGACCCGATCCCAGCCGCCTTTATTTTCTCTGGTGCGGAGGGGGGGGCTCAACTACCGTGGGGGGCAGAGGGCGCAACCTCCCAGCGCTTCCTGTCTCTGCTCCTTACCAGCTGCCATGGTGGCGGCGGCGATCGCCCAGTTAGGGCGGCAGTGGGGGGGCTTTGGGGGGCACAGTTTGGCGCCCCTGAGGGCCAGCGCGTCCTAGGCGAGCGCCTAGTTCGCCTAGTGGGCGAGCCAGCCCTGCTTGCCAGCCTTACCCTCCCTTTGGGTGGAGGGCTTGCCCCTGGAACCTGGTATGGGTGCGGAGAGCCTGCAGCCTAGCAGTCTGATGGTGCTGAAGAAGCGGCTACCCACCTGACTGCAGGAAACTCCGGAGAGCGGCGCTGGGAAGAGGCGGTTAATCCTTCATACGAGCCACGTTAAGTACAGTCGGGATACTTACCTCTTTGGCCCACCGAGTTGGTCCGTACCAGGCAGGGTCGTGGCGGGAAAGCTGGGTGGTCCTGGGACCTTCCGCAGGGGGGGAAGAAAGGGGGGGATTCCTTCCCTATGAGTCCCCCGAAGTCCCACAATGGCCGGAAGGTGAAGGTGGATTTGGCAGTCCGACTAGGAGTTAGTCTGAGCCTTTGTCTCTCCTCACTAGATTGGGCATGGTTCCACAGAAAGGGTACAACAGACAGGGCTAGTTTTTTGGCGGGAAAATGGTGGTGGCCATCTTGCCTACAGCCTCCTTTTGATAGTGCTTTCTGTTTCCCTTTCCCCCACAGGCAGAGAGGGATGGCTGATAAAGCACAGCAAGGTAGCTCCCAGGCAGGGCTGGCCCGAGGTGTTTCTGCGCCCTAGGCGAGGCCAGCTTGTGGCGCCCCCCCACGCGATGCCAACTTCCTGGTGGAGCCTGGA